TATATATATATATATATATATATATATATATTATGAGTGTTTGTGCGTAGGCACGCAAATGTGTGAGAGGTTTCTTTCTCATTGAATCGCCGCCTACGCAAGTTTCTCTACGCAAATCCTCTATATTGCTCTTGTAAATTGCAATCACGTGTATGTAACTTCAAATCTAGTTTCATCTGCCTATCATGTCCAAATTTATAGCTACGTATTCGCGATTTAAAGATTATCCTCTCTTTCTCTTTCTCTCTTTCCGAAGGCAATGTTTACGGGTCAGCGTTTTATTTTACGAGAGCAACGATATTAAAAATATTAAATATCTGAACGAGTGATTTGCTAAGTGAGAAAATATTATCCCGAAAGAGATAGATTATAATTTTGTTGTTCTACTTTAAATTATTCGTTAATGAAGATACTATTTTTCTTTTTTCTTAAGCTTTGATTATCGTCCTTCAATTAAAACTTTAATTGAGTTCGTAGGATTAGTAATATAATTGACTGTCATTAACTTCGAAATATACGAAAACTGTAATACAAATAATTACATTGAAAGTATTTTAATTGCATTAAAAAAAAAGAAAAAACTCAAGAAACGCATCGAAAACGGATTTGTACAATTTTATTTATTATTTTGTATATTTTAAATTAACATCTTTTTTAATCTATCACGGAGAAAAAAAGAAATACTTGATTTATTGAAATGTCTTTTTTTTTTTTATACAAACAATAAGTAAACATGTTATTTAAGATAGTAAATTCTCATTGACTCATCTTGTAGACAATTTACGAGTGTTAATTTAGATCGATTAATATCATTGAGAAAGACTTAACCCTCGCAAAAGTTTATTCCTTTATTTCTAGGAAAACCAATACTTCGATATAATGTTGTTAGACTATAGCATGCGTCTTACTAAGGGTTTATTGGGATTGATGGAAGTCACAGGCATCATTATGTTCGATTCTTTCCACGAATTAAATTTATCTCTTTATCGTAACGAAAACAATATCGAACATTTTGACGTTACTTTTTTTTATTTCAACGTGTTGCATTCCTTAACATTTAATGTTAGTATTATTATCATTATTAATAGTAGTAGTAGTAGTATGTAAGTATTCTAATACATTCTCGACCTAATCTCTTATTTTGACGAGCATATTTTTCCCAGACGCGGATGTTTACAAGGTCCTCAAAGTATATATATCACGTTCTATATATATATAATTATTTTCAATCTGAAATAAGAATTTTAATCATTGAAAGAATCGCGATGGAAATAAGAAGAGATAAAATGAAAAAGAAAAATCCTAGGCAACGAGTTAATGGAAATTTGTGTGAGTTCAAGAAAATTATATAGAACGTTGTAGTTCTTTAGGAATAACGTCAAAACGTCAAAACAATTTTCGAAGTTTTTCTACCCCGAGCGTAATGCATCAAGTGTCAAAGATGTTCCATTTAAAATTGAAAAATGTTATTTTGCATTCGAGATACTTCCCTTATTTCTTTTTTTATTTTCTTCTTAAAGTATCACGTTTTAATAATATTTCATTAAGGACAAAAGTAATTTACATTTTAATTTACTACACGCGATTTGTTTTTTTTTTTTTTTTTAAAGAGAGATAGAGAACAACTCGGTTGACTATATTTAATAACACTTTCGATATATATGCCTTTTTTTTTTTCTTTTTACTTTAAGACGAACAACCTCTTCGACAAACACCGTGAATGAGGAGACGCTCCCGTCTTCTTAGAAGAAGAAGCTTTTTTAATTAATTAGATATTTCGTTTTGGAGTTCTATCTACGTTTTTTTCCTTTTTTGCTTTTTTTTTTTTCTTGTTGTCCCCTAAGGATCGTCTAAAGATCATTTTCAACGTCGCGTACCTATTCGAAGATCTAAAAATAATACATTGAATTTGATTCGTGTAGAAACCTTGAATGATTAATAGGAAAATAATAATAATTGATCTGTGTCTTGTATTTCTTTTTTTAAATCACTTTGCGAAACACATGCTAATGAAATTATTTCATTTATTTGTCTCTCCCTTTTTGTCTTTATCTCTTTTTTTTTTCTTTCATTCGTTTATCAATCATGCACGTAACGATTAGTAAGATAAGATTTAAAAGCAATGACGAATACTCGTCGCTCAAAGGAGCTATTATTTTTTATGCATATTGTTATTAACATAAAATATGCCATTCTCGTAGCTATTCGATGTCATTGTTCGCGATGTGGATACCAACTTGTATGTATGTATATATATACATACATACATAAATACATTTGAATAAACCAATGCGATTCCATTCGCGTACGCATTCAAAGAATTCTTATTCCAAACACTCTGAGTTTTAATTCAACTCCGAAAGATTAATAATCGATTAGACGAGATCAAGTGTTCATGTAGATTTTTGATAAATAACAAATACATACACATACTTGTGTGATACGTATATCCATCGATCACTGTCTCCTCGTGTTTTATTAAAACTACAGAGGGTGGTTAACTAAAACGAAAGGGTGAATAATATCATCGCTGGCCAATTAAATTCATCGAATCCTTGGTTTCTTTATGGGAAAAAAGAAAAAAAAAACAAATGAAAAAGAAAAAGAAAGATGTTTGTACAGACAGTCGCCAGTCTAGATTCGTAAAAAACGTTTCACGTATTTATTTCGTATAAATCAAACGAACGAACACAGTTATGGTTTAATCGTTACGCCCTCAATAATTTTCGTCAAAGAGGTCAATGAACTATTTTGTTCAATCGATGACACGCATGTATCTTTCAGCAGGTGACGTATCCGGTAATTGTCCGTTGTATGCTGGCACTTTGGCTGGCTGCTCTGTCATTGACCAGCTTACCGGTATTGGGCTTCGGTCTTTATTACAAAGATGATCACTGTGTTCGATATAGAGAGGCTACCGAACCTACTGACATAGCTTATGCATACGTGTGGTTCGTTTTCGGTGAGTGTCAATGATCTCTATTGCAATGTGAGTATACATATATATGTATATATTGTTTATGTTCAACCAAAAATCATTAAGCTATATTTTTATCTTAAATTGATTTATGTATTCATAGATAAATCTTACATTTATGCATTACATTTTGAAAAGTATCCATAATAATTTGTTAAAGTATTAAGAAAAAAGGCACAATTGTATTCGTTAAAATATTAATTGAACGAGTAATGTAATTGTCAGATTAATATAAATGTTAATTAGTGGCTTTTTAATCGAACATAGATAATATGTGTGTATGCAGGCAGATAATTTTTTAGAAAGGAATCGATAATTGTTAAATATTTATTCGTTAGGTACTCTTCTCTGTCTGTCCATTGTCTGGTGTAATTTAGCAGTGTCCAGAGCATTGAATAGACTAAGTCGTCGAGTTGGAGCACTGAGACGTATCTCGAGGGCTTCTTCAAGGGCTAAACCGTTGCTAACTGTAACCGGACCCACACCAGAAGTCGTAACAACTGCTGAGGAAAGAGCTTTTGCCAAACTAATGGCAGTACTTTCGATATCTTTCGTTGTTTGTTGGATGCCGCAAATGGTAAGGGGATTATTTTGTTGTTTTTTTATTTTTTATTTAAACAAAATTTTCTTTTCCTTTCCTCTCTTAGTTAATTCAAATTAATCGTTTATTGTTATACTATTCCTATCGACAATTTTATTCCGGTTTTTTTTTTTTCTCTTCTTCTCCGATTACTTTCATTCGGTCAAGGTCGAGTGGTGGTGGTTATCTCGTTCGATGCAATTTTGCTGCGAGCGATAACCATAAGTTGTCACGTTAAATTACAACGTATGGCAATAAAATAGAACCCTTGATTTATTCTACGAAGGGTGAATTCTAAGCTTGTCTTCCCAAATATCTTTCTAAACGGTATTTATGATTAATGAAACATTTCTTTTTTTTACTTTTCTTACGAAAATAATGAATTGTATATTCCTATAAATTTTTTTTAAATTATTCTATATATATATATATACATAAAGATATTTTATAACACTACAAAATTTCGGTATACTTTTCTTTTTGATTTATCATTCAAAGGTTCGAAAAATTGTTTATGGAAAAATTTGGCATCAATCTTATTAATCGTTTTCTCTTCGATATCTTTCATAAATTACTCGAAATAAAAAAAAAATAAAAAACTTGCTTGAGAAGTCATAAAGTTTTTTTCGTTCGAGTTGTCCTTCGGAGTTGGACGCTACTTCGTGGGGAGAAAATGATCGGAACCGTTTTTACCGAGTCGCAACCCTGAAGGAGAAATAGCTTAGTGGAAAGAAGAAACTTAGCTTCCGGCTAGTAGCTTTTATGGGAAGCAATGGTTTTTACGTGACGTGCTTGCAAGGGATATTGAAGTTGACACTTTACTCCTACGCAGTCGAGAAAAAGATCGACGATATTTGTGACTAATTCGCGTTCGTGATAAAACACTAGAAGCATTTCAAGTTATTCTCTTTCGTTTCATTGTACATATTGCTAATAACAATTTGTTTTTTTACAAGGTTAAAAAAAAAAAGGAAGGAATCAAAAAAATATTTTTCAAATTAAATTACTTCGTTCGCTTATTTTTCTTTTTCTTTTTGTTTCTTTTTTATTATACATTTATATAAGACGATAATTTATATCGTAGACAAAATTTTGATTAACTAGGAGGCAAATTTCATCGAACAATAAATCCACAATTCTATTTCCTTAAAGTTTAATTTAATATTCAATAGCACTACGTGTAAATTGTTTTCAAATGTTCTCACGTACAATCCATCGAGACCAACGAGTAACTTCGTCGTCGTCGTAGTCGTAGTCGTCCCTCTCGCGAAAAATAGACTTACGATCGAACCGGATGTCATCGTTAATAAAATTACGCGCGCGTGTCGACAAATGTTTCGTCCAAATCTAACATCGGATACATTGTGCTCGTTTATTGAAAATCTAACTACGTTGGTGTTGGATTAATCAATAAAACGAAATTGTTAATTCCTGCGTTTTCATTTTTTCCCTTTTTCATACGAGTACGACTTTACGAATATATATTACGTCAAATATATTTTATATTTTATACGCAAATGAGAATGAAAATATTTCCAATATAATTTCTGACAAAGTAACGAATAAACAAATATTAAATGAAATGAATTAATATGTTAAATTTGTCCGATAGTTTTCGATTCCGCTCGCACAATTCTCGATGACGTTGCCTAAAAAGATGGTGACATTGAAAAAATGCATCCATATTTTTCACGTCGTCGCTGACATTCTATTGTGCATACACTTCACCTTGGATCCGTACATTTACGTTCTCCTACGAATGCCTCGACCAAGATTCCGTTTGTTGAAACCACTTTGCCGAATTTGTTGGCCAGCCAGAAGTCGATCTAATTCGTTTACAGGTGAGACATACATCCCATTACGATCATCTAATTTGTCGTTTCATTATTTTTCTTCTTTTCGTTATAATTAATTATCAATGGAAATGAAATTTAATCTTTAGGTACAGGTGATAATCATTTCAGCAGTGGTGATCCACCAACCCCAATAACCGAAGCACCCTCGACACCCGTTAGCGAGGAACACGAGTCCGAATTAGCATCGGTGAATGTTTAAACAAACAAAAATAATCAATACGATTAAGTATGATTTTATATCGACGATGTATTTGTACGAAATACCAAAGTTTTGTATATGTATATTTTTATTTAATCAATTCGTATTTACAATTTCTAGTTTAATATTGGACTAAGTAAGTCGAGGCATTCCGTATGAATTAGGGTGATTTAATGAAGGATGAAAAGTATGCGAGTGAGATGGATAAAGTACTTGTTGTTTTTTTTTTTTTAGTATAAACCTTTAAGTATTTTTTTTCTCTCTCTATTTCTTTTTTGATTTTTCTTTTTTTTAATATACATATACATACTATTATCAATATTGTCGAAAGTTTACGACGTTTAAACGATTTTTCTCATCGATAACTCCTAATCATTTGCCACGTGCAAATGACAGCGCGAAGTTGGACGATTCGGATAATGGTGTAATCTTTCGTCAATTATTACGATCAAAAACCCTATATATTTATATATATATACGAGAAAATAATCGATATTATTATTTCACATTCTTTTTTCTTTTTTATATTCAATTTATTATTCGATTATAAATAACGTTTCGACGAATTTTTATATAGTACGTTACGTTGAATAAAAAAGAAAAGAAACAAAAATTCGATATAATACACGTTTTAAAAGCACAGTTACACGATCCAAATTGTTTTACGTAATAAATTTACATATATATATATATAGATATATACACATATGAACGTTATAACATCTGTGTAAGTGTGCTTCTAGTCAGAGTAGCGAACCGATGTAACTGATCAAACAAATTGGAAATTAAACGCAATGATCCAAATAATTCCATTGAAATTTCGTATGCCAGAAAAATATAACAAAGTTAGGAAATCGATTATTCTCCCCCGTACGATATTAATGTTACGCATTAATGATTTTGATTCTTTTTTTCCTCCTTCTTCTTCTATTTTATATATATTTTATAACGTTATTATCAAAAAGGAGATATTACTCGTGCCATTAAATGTGAATACTGTGGTTCTAATAAGTGTATATGATATATGTGTGTATATGAATCCATATTTACATGTTAAATAAGATTACACGTTAGAAACAATAGTTTCATCTATTATCATTATTGAATAGTAGATTTATCAATAATTTTACATATCTCGTTCGTGATCGTACAAAATCGATCATTTAATTTCATCATCTTATATATAATTTTTATACATATCTTTTTATAAATATATATATATATATATATATATATATTTATATATGTATGTTAGTATGTTCTTTTTACTGAATGATATTTATGATATAAGTAAAGTATTCACACATGCATTTAGAATATGTTGATTAACCATTTACAATTTTTAACGAGCATTTATATAAATTGTACATAAAGGATATATTACATACATGGATTAATTGTAACCAATTGTGTTGTTTATTGATTTGTGTGACGTACTATAATCGCGAGTGACGTAAAACAGAAAAAGCACGAAGGGTGGATGTTTATTGAAATAAAAAAAAAACAATGAAAAGAAAATCAATTTTTAAAAAACGTCAAATAATTAATATATGTTAATATCGTGACTTGAATAAACGATGACGCAAATTGATTGAGAGTTATTATCTTTCGTAGAGTGATGACATGGTACGATGACGTAAATGATAATGCGTTCGAAGTAAAATACACATATAATACAAATATATATGTATATATATACGATATATTACATTTTCTTTCAGCTGATGATAAATTGAATCCTACAGATTCGTTTTGTATTTTTCTATATACGATCCTAAAAACAAGATTGTTTTCTACAACACATCAGAGATGCATCCAAGAATTGCATTCGTAAGATTATTTATCGAAAGTATAATAAATACATATACATATATATATATTTTTTTTTCTTCTTCTTCTTATAGAGAGAAAAGAAAAAAAAAGGGGAAAAAAAAAGAAAGAGAACGAGTACGAGATATTCTTCACGAAACAATCTACTTAAGTAGTACAGCTTTCAACACGGCAAACAAACGATCGAAATTGACTACGCTCCTATAAATGGCAAAATATTTATCGACGATATTTTCTTACTTTATTTCTTTGTTCTTTTTTTTTTTTTGGCTTTTATCTGGTTTTCTTTTTCAAAAAATAGATTATATTTCTCCAAGCACAAACATTTTTTTTTTTTTGTTAATCCTTCGTCTCTACGTATTATTTGAAGTCCAGTTTTGATTATGGGTCTCGTTTATGCTACTCGTAAAAATGTGTATGATTCTAATAATTGCGTTTATAATATTTTTCTTTTTTCAATAGGTATTATATTACGTTTTAGGTGAATTTGTAATAAGGATTACCCGTATCTCTTCGCGTTTTAAAAATTTTCTTTTTCCTATTGTGCTCAATGTTTAGAGAAAATATATACATATATTGTTCAGAATGTGTGCGTGCAGTAAAATCGATTGAAAAAGGAAATTCGATTAATGTTTTATTCGTTCACACAATAAAGGTGGCACAAATATACGATTCGAAGAATAATATAATATAACTTTTTGTGTATATATATATATATCGTCATAATATATATGTGTAGCTTTCATTCAGTCTTAAATTAGCAAAAATTACAATTATCTGGTTTCTTTTTTCTTTTGTGTTATTTTTGTTCTTTTTTTTTTTTAAGGTTTTTTTTTTTGCTTCTTTCCTTCACACTTAAACATATACATGAGTAAGCATCGATATCGTGTCTTGCATAAATTTTTCATTCATTATAATTACACTTACGTTAAGAGGAAATTATTTTGTTAAATTTGTTTGTTTGTTTTCAATCTCTCCAACGAATATTATCACGCGAACGTTTCGATGTTACGAATCATCATTTTTGATTGGTCAAAATGTGTGTGTGTGTGTGTGTGTATGTGTGAAGCATATTATTTGCCAAATTTTCTTGATAATAAATTATTGTCAAACGTACTATTCGCGTTAATTGATAATACGCATCGTAAGCATAGGAACCACAAGATCATAACGTAAGGACGACTTCGTTTCAGTAATTTGCACTCTTTTTTTTTTTTGATATGGATAATTGTATAATATTCAATGTCTACATTCATACTTTAAACACATTCATGTCAGACAAACAGACAGACAGGCAGACAGACAGACAAACACGCACGCGAGCGAGTACACACATACGCCGACGTGATATATTATATTTAATCGAAAAAAAAAAAAGGAATTTATAATTTTCACGTAAATTTCTTTTACAAGGAAATACACGGACACATTAATTTACATCATTTAAACATTCACAAAACGAATAACGAAGTACATTTGGGTTTACTTGCGTCATCGAAGGGACAACGATAAAATCTTGTCAATATTTTTTTTGTAACATTTGTAAGAAATGATAAAACCTTTTTTTTTTTTTTAATAACATGATCGTTTTTTTTTTTTTTTTAATTTAGGCCATTTAAAACGTTATAAGCTCGTTTTCGAAGCCCTTTCAGGTACCGCACATTAATTATCATCGTTAATCCGTTACGACAAGATATATTTGACACATCCTGAATATTTTTCATTTCCTTTTCTTACTATTGATTATCAAACTGCGACGATAATACAAGAATTCATGCCCGGAATTATAGACTAGCATAGCCCATAGAAAGGTTTGACTTCTCGAACAAATAGTGTTACCAAACACCTTAACGACGATTGATCATTTCGTCGTAATGTCTCGAAAAGTATAGCGCGAAATCTGGACTAAAAAACTTCGTCTAAAATTCATTCATTTCCGTATCGTCTTACAAATTACCGAACGTATACGGTAAGTCCCTTTTTCCCCATCTCAACGTAGGTATTCATTTCATTACAAATTTCCAACTGCAGACCTTTTCTTAACCGATCAGAGGAAGAGAAACGAGCAAAAAGAAATCTATCGCGTTGATTTTCCTCTATGCAAAAATGAAAACATTCCTCAAGCAAGATTTTGACCATCCTGTAACACGAATTCGACTTCGGTTTGCAGATAACGGAACTTTCTTATCCTCGTTCTGATCCACTCCGCCAGGAGCAACCAGAGAACTTTACCTCGTTCCCTGAAATATCGTCGAGTCGATCCGTCCGTATTGACCAAGTATGGTACAGCACGATGATCATGTTCGCATGTCGGCTGCACGTTCGACAACAACGATTCCCACGGCGTGTCGTGCCGGCTTTCGTGAACCCCGACCCTCCTCTACAAATTTATTCAACCCAAATTTCACGGATACAAACTTTGTTCTTTTGGTACTTTTCTTTTCTTTTTTTCTTTTTTTTTATTTGTTTGTGTGTTTGTTTGTTTGTTCTAATTGAAGGAAACAAAATCGCTACCTTGGGCCGTGCAGAATTACATCACACCTTCCACAAAAGTAGATGATTCGTCGAATCCTCGCGACCAGCCTGTAATTCGGCTGACGCTTGGGGTCCTCTGAAATCCTCGTACCCGTCGCCACCGGATATCACCAGTAGCTTACCGCGATTGATGTTATTCTGATGGACTTTCTTCGATTTCAAAGAGTATCGATTCACCTTTGGTCGTGGTTCTGGTTTCGATGTTGTACTGGTTTCTACGTATGTTAGAAACCGCACGTGTCCCGTGTGTCCGTGAGGTATTCCTTTGGGAAAAGAAGAAGAAGAAGAAGGAAAAGAAAAAAGAAGTTTTCGTTAAAAATCTCAATTACAAAAGGAGAGAAAGATAAAGAGATCAGCGAGAGCTCGATACCAACCAGTTACTATAGGAGGTTGAGATATTCTTTGCGTGGATGGTTTGATGTGAGGTATTGGTACGGTTAATAATACACCAGCACTTGTACCGATCCATAACAACTCGTTGCAAGCCAATAATGCGGTCACTCTTAGACAGGCTGCTTTGTGTTGTCTTATTATGTCATCGCAACCTGCAACAAGTTTAATGTTTTCGTTAAAATAAATATCGTTGGATATATGACAGGTGTGTGTATTTCAATTGAAACACGATTAATCTTCTATCGAATTATTTTCTCTAGTGTTAAAGAGATTTAAAACTTACTAGCAAGCATTTTGGTAACTGCCGGTGCGATATTTATATCCGTCAAACATTCGTAACTACCGGCATGGAATAATCGAAGTACGGCACTGTTGTGCAAAGAAATCCAGACGCCAAAACCACCGGAATTTGCCATACAAGTGACAGCTCGACTCGTGTCGCTGCTCACAACGAAATTGTGCTCTATGTCTAAGGTACGCGTGTTGAGAACTTTCACGGAATTATGGCAACCGCACCACAGTTTGCCAGACACCGGAAGCATCTTCGTTACCGGAGATGCTACGGTACCAACAGACACTATCGTAGGATCTGGAGTATTCCAACCTCCTGCTGAATGAAAATATAATCGTATTTTTGAATTATATTCATTATCAAGGCCGTAACGATTAAATCATAGGGGTCTAACTAAGACGAACTTACTATGATCTCGTGTGTATACAGCTATATCGCCATTGGCAAGTGACACGAATACTTTATTGTCCAAGTATCTATAATCGAGAATAAGGGTATCGAGTTAATTATAGGCATAACACGCGTCATTACCAGACACTTTTTCCCTTTCCTCGAAGGATCAACTTACATGATACAGTGCACGCTGCTACCATGTTGAATCTTCACCTTGTTCTTTTTTATTCTAATATTGTCGTTACAATTATAAACGTGAATGCAACCATCTTCCGTTCCTAACCACATGGTAGGCTGATTGGCATCTTCCTCAATGACAGTAGCGTTATCGATATTAGAAACGTCACCGCTCAAGGTCACGCTACAAGTATCCACACTTGGAATGTCGTCCGAGTCCGATTCGTCGGAGCTCGAGCTGCTGCAACAACAATATTAATGCAATAAACTCGAACCTAATTTAACTCTTATCAAAAGAAACATCGATTATTACCTGTCTAATTGAATATTACCGCTACCGGAGTCGACGTCTTGAACAGAAATACTGATGCCGCTTTTACTATTAACAAACGTGTTGCTATTCGATGCGGAAGAGTTCGAACTATAATATATAGAAAATAATGAAGATAATTATTTAACACGATAAACAGGGATATAATACAATTTCGTACTTACCCAGGAGTACAAGCGGGTATACCAGCAACGCATAATATTCTAGCATTACAAACACCATTACAAGATGTAACTTGAGGTGGTTCCGGACTCAAACTTAACACGCAAACTTGACCAACGTATCCGTCGCTGTTACAAACCCAAACGTCGCGAGACTCTTGTCCATTCGATAACGTCGGTGCAGCACAAGTAAATTGTAGTCCCGCTCGTGTTTTTCTAATGGGTAAAGGACCGACAAATTCTGGACAAAGTCTTCGATCGGCTGACAACGCTGGAACGTATACACCAAAGTATATAAGAGCAAAGTTCCCCTATTAATATATATATAAGGCGAGAAAATAAAATCACTTAACTCACCCAACTTTTGTTTGGCTTCGTTGAAACTTTCTTCCCAGCTCGCTCTTTTGTCGGGCTTTGTGAAGACAACGGAGATATTTTCGATACCCGATCTGTGCGAAAGATACGGATAATAAAAATTGTGCGAGGAAAGAAAGAAAGAAAGAAAAAAAAAAAAGAAGAAGGAAGTTTAAAGAAAGTATTGAAAATCGATTATTACTGCGTGTTAAGGGTTAATTCTAGACAAGCCAGTTGAGAATGAGCAGCGTTTCTTTCGGCCAGTTGCCTTTGAGCTTGGCACAACATATCCTTGATCAGATCCTCGAGTTGTGCTTTATTCCCGTGTAACGTGGCAACGAGTTCTTGGAGTTGGCTCAACGTGGCGCAATCCTCGCGTAGGTGATCCACCTCGCGTGCCATTCGTCTGAGATTCTCGTCCTTGGCTGAGAAGTAAAGATCGATGGAGACCAGCTGAGATATATTCGTCGTTCTAACGAATGATCCCTTCTAATATAACTCATTCAAAATAATCTATCTATTATATTTTAACGACACAACTATACCTTTCATCACCTCGAGATCGTCCAACGGTATTCTCATCAACATTTTGTATTTGTTAGCTTCAAGAAGACTGACCAAACTGTTCGGACAAGAACTCCTATGAATCGATTGATAGATTAATAAAAATCTTATTGGATAAGAAAACTGCATTAAAGTAATGCATTACTGTATTATACTTACGTCGATGGTTTCCTTATTGTACCACTTCGTCTTTTGATACTAGTAATAACCAATAAATCGGAAAACAAAAATAGTGCTCGTTCCTTTCGCGTGCCCTGGTTCGATGCAATGGTAACCAAATCGTGACGGACGAACGCTCTGCCAGTATAAAAAAAAAAAAAAGAAAAAAATACAAAACGAACGAATATGTTGTTATGTAAGTTCTTTTTTATCATTTTTCTTTTTTTTATTATTATTATTATTATTATTATTATTCTACGAGCACACATAGAGAGACAACAAATGAATATCGAAAATCAATGGACTCGTTCGTTGGGAAAATCGGGACGGCGGTGAAATAAAAAAAAGAAAAAAGGAAAAATAAAAAATAAAAAAAAAGAAAAAAAGAAAAAGGGACGTGTTATTATATTTATAAAAATGGGCTTGCAATAACCGATCGGTGAATTGAAATAGTATAGAAAAACCGTGGATATTTAGACGAACACAAAATGTTTTCTCTCTGTGCGTTTATATTTAAAAATATCAATAATTATGTTTGAAAATAATGATATCAAACCTATCGTTGGTAACGATGCCCGCTAGACCTTCGACGAGGGCTTGAACCTCTCTCAATGTACTTTGTTGTTGTTCCCATTCGAGAGATTCTCGCTCCGTGCAATTGATCTTTACGACCAATTCATGAACTTCCTTTTGTGCTGCCTGGAGAAACTTGTAATCGGGATGGGCCGAATCGGTATGCTTGAGAAGCCTTTGAATTAGAAGCTCATAACGCGGGATCTTCTGTACGGGTTTAATCAACAATTGATCCAAACCAAGTTTCCCTTTGTGTTCGCGTTCCATCGTCTACGAATTGAAACAAAATCCATGCAGAATTATCTCGTATATGTTACACCTATTACACATACATTTTCTACGTTTATAAAAGAAAGAGAAAGAGAAAGAGAGAGAGAGAGAGAGATAGATAGAGGCAATTAAAGTGTACCTCGAGAAATCGTGCGAAAGCTGGTTTCGCTTGACACGTTGTTTTAATCGCCTTTCTCGCGGATTTCCAATTGTCCAGGAAAAGTGTATAAGTCTCGAGAACGACTGGCTTTGTAAACTGTACAAATCAAAATAGGAAAATTGTTTGTCCTTTTTTTTCTTTTTTTTTCAATTTAATTTCCACCTTTTTTCGTTTTACAAATAATAATGATAATAATAATAATAATACTCACTACTTCTAAGAATACGTCACCTATCGTCTGCCTTATTTCCCAAGTGTCCAAACGTTTTCTTAACTCTTCGAGAAAGATTTCGTGATGGCTAAGAATCGCTGGTATCTAAGAAATATTTCAAAACAAAAGAAACGTGGATATCTAATTTTGAATAAATTTCTTTTTTCATATAAATACAAAATAAATCTCTCTTTATATACATATATATATTTTTATTTTTATTTTAATCTCGAGAGTCAAGGGTCACTTCGAGGATGCGCCATTATATGCATCTGAATGCACTTTAATATCAGTTACGATATGCAAGGGGGAAAAAAAAACATCGTTGGCCTTGATAAAAGAAAAACGATATATATATATATATATGTTTTCTGCAGTATAATCGTCATTTAGTATCAAATCAAATTGTATATAAAATATTTATTTTAACAAAGTAAGAGGATTGATGATGAAATTATTTAATTGGCCATCTCTCTTTTAGATAAAAATAATATAATATTATATGTATATATATAATATATTAATTATATCATCGTTGTTATAACGTCCTTGTATTTTCTTTGTAAAATAATTTAAACGGGGACACGCGTACTCACTTACCTGATAAAATATCTCATCCACCGTAACAGCGTCCACCAAGCCGGCATTCTCGGGACTCTTCAAAGGCTGCAGATATTTCTGGAACAAAAATCGAATTTTGTTTCGCAATATTCTCCCTTATAGGGTAACGACGTCGAGCGAATGAGTATGTGTGTGTGTGTGTGTGTGCATATATATAAATACGTATATACATATACGATGCATATACGTTTACGTATGAATCACACTCGATGATGTTATTTCTCGATAAGTGCAAAAAAAAAATCTTGATTCCGTTTCACGAACATGTTGTAATATATAAACGAATAAGATGTAAATAGTTGTAAAAGAATTTAAAAAAAAAAAAAAAAACCTTACGTTTGATTTTACGATTCGTTGGAAGTTACAAAGTATATATGTCCGTGTGTCACATGGGGAAAATCAATTGCTGGAGAGGGGGGAGAGAACGAAAAGGGGGGAGGTTAATGAAGTGCGAGGAATGCGACGTGGACATTTTTTTGTTCCCTGTAGATTTTTTTTTCTTCTTCTTCTTCTTCCTCTTTTTCGTGTATAACGAGAAGAAAAACGATGCTTTAAATTGCTCCTATGTAGATTTATGAGCTTTAAGGTTCTCCTCATCGGTCGAATGGATAATAAAGGAACTAAATATATATAAAACATAGTAGTAATTGTAATAGTATATTCGTAAAATAGTAAAAGTAAAAAAAAGAAAAAGAGAACAACGATGGCCACGAGACGAGAATAAACAAAATTTTCTGCATGCCATTGAAACGTTAAACGCGAGGGAAGAAAATAAGAAGAAGATGATAAATATAATGATAAAATATGTGGAAGAAAATAAATATTCATGGATTCTATGGCACATTGAACTTTATATTATTTTAATTTTCGAAACATCGTCTACGCGAGAAGAACGATAAATATCGTTTACTAATATTCTTTTTTTTTTCTTTTCATAATGACGTGCGGAAACCATAGGTACAAAAAAAAAAAAAGAAGAAGCAGAAAGAAGGAAAGAAACAAACAAACAAAAAATATGATTCAAAATATACGACAAAGTATTGTGTGCGAGGAGAAGAAAATAAAAATATCTATAAGTAAGTTTTGCTAGGTGTACAATAAGGGTGCACGTTCGCACCCTTTATCTTTGACCTTTAACGCTTTGAAAAGCATAGCGTCGTATGGCACGAACGACTTCGTAAAAAGGAGCAAAAAAGGGGAGTAAAAAGACAGAGAAAGAAAGAGAGAGAAAAAAAGACAGAGAAATCGTCGAGTTTATTTTGCCGAGTTTCAAGCTATTTCTCTCTCTCTCTCTCTCTCTTTTCTATTTCTTTTTTTTTTTTTTTTTTTTAACGTTTTTTTTTTTTTTTGCCTCGAGAATCCAAGCGACGACATGAAAAATCGTAGCCTCACAACGTAGAGTTCGGACAAGGCCATCGTTGAAATAATAGATCCTCTCTATGCGTGTGTGGGTGGTTGGGTGTTGTTTAGAAAATATGACAATCAAATTCAACAGAGAATGTTAGATCGTTCTGTTGCGAAATTTATCTAACGATTTCTTTTAGCGAGATGTAATGAAATGATATATTTTAAAAAAGAACAAGAAAAAAAAGAAAAAAATCTCAATGGTTAATAGAGATGTATTTTGATTCCGTGGCTATCTCGAAGAAGAAGAATGAAAAAAACGAGGGAATTATGTGGTGGTTAGAAGAGAATGGGGAGAAAATGGGGGGTTGGGTAGACGAAAGCATTTAACATTCTTTCCATGTTGCTATTTTTAAATTTACATATTTTTCAACGAACTAATGTCATACGCACAGAAATGTGTCCCGGATATAACGAATCGAATGCATTCGATAATGGTCAGATAATAGATAAATAAGTTAGTTAACGTTTCGAGAGAATCCGTGTACTGTGATAATCGATGTAAAACTCTCTATTACAAAAGGAAATGTATATACGTATCTATATGTTTTTATCGGTAAATCTTTCATTAAAATGGAACGTGTTTCAATATCGGTTAATCGCATCTCAAATTATTCTGTAATACACATTAGGTTATATAATTATATTATAATATAATATAATATAATATTAATATATATATTATACTTACATTGACTAGTATTTGTAAAGCCTCCACGTAGGAACGTTCGGTATCATAAAGTTCTACGACTACGTGAGTTCTCGTATCCTGAAACATAATAAAAAGAATAAAATGTATATAATTTTATCGAATTTACGAATATTAATACACGTGTACAAATTGAACAAAAAATCATTTATTCATTCGTTCGTTCGTTCAAGAATCCTTGAAATTCATATCGGAGGAAAACTGTATTCGAGGACTTTTATCATAATCTCCTTAGGTTAGCTTTAGTTATTTTTCGATGGAACGTGACCTCGTATACGATAGGAAGCCAGAACTACACGTGCGTATTGTACATACGAAGCAGGCGCACGTGTTGTACTGCGCCACGTGTCGGTCAACGGATTTATGGATTACACGGAATGTACCATTTCCTGAATTAAAGAGTAATTATCTAAGTGTTCGTAATAACTGTTAGCCAACTCGCATTCCTTCTCTCTCAATAAATTGAAGATTACCGAGAGAGAGAGAAAGAGAGAGAGAGAGAGAGAGAGAGAGATTTATCTCCTAGAGATAAAATGTTTTAATTTAATTAACAGTTAATATATGAGCCTGGCATATTACGTTTATTATTAAATAATTTATCCCCCATTTTTTTTGCCGATTACAATAAATTCATTATAATATCTATCTATATATCTATCTATCTAATAAAACGTTCCCTTTGATATGAATAATAATCATGATGAAAAGAACATTATTATTATTATTATTATTATTATTATTATTACGTAGTTTCGAAAGTTCATTTAAATACTTAAGGAGAATAAGAAGTAGAAAAAGAAGAAGGAGGTGGAGGTGGAGGAGGAGGATTTGAAGGAATAAGACCTTTGATCGTTGATTCGTGTTAACATCGGACATCAATTGATTATCGGCAAGAAGGAATTTAGAAAGCACCTACGCGTTCTCTCGTGACATGCCCGTTATTCCTGTTGTCCAGGGTTAGCCGACACTCGATGGTCCTAACACTGGCGTTGATCGCCATCCTCTTATTTCCGTTTATCTTTCTTGAATTTCTACAACCGTTAGGAACGAACACTCGCAACATATCCACGCTACGCACGATATTATTCTCCACTCGATAAATTCGAATTTACACGGACACATCGTGACGTCGTCTTCTTCGTCGTCGTCGTCGTCGTCGTAGTATACGAGTACGCATGAGATTCAAGTTCAAGGGATGCACTTTCGAGCCAATCGTGTATACGCGTGCATGTATATTTTCATAGAAGTATTCTCTGACGCACGTGGCGAAAGTTTACATAATATGACATACTTCTCTAAATATAATAATACATATCGTTTAAACACGTTTAAAAATTTCCTCTTATTATTATTATTAATATTATCATTAATTTAATTAGAAATTAATAATAATCTTAATACAAAAAAAGTCGTATTACTTATTTATATCGCGACTTGTCGAAAGAAAATAAATTCATTATTATATTATCTTCTTTTTCTTCTTCCAAATTCACAAAAAGATTTTTCGTTTGATCCACTGTTATAATCCTTGCGCATCGAATTATACGTCAAAAAATGTTTTACATAAGATAAACGACAAAAAAAGGTGTCACGTGTTTCACCACACGTATATAACCGTAAATTCTCGACTACCATTCGCGTGATAACGACGAAGTAATATCCCTTTCGAGAATGTAGCTTAAAAAAAAAGAAAATGGGACGATGATCGGGATTGAATGTTTTCCTTGATTTACTCGGGGAAAAAAAAATAACCATTACACTTAAACTAGCTTCTATTTCCGTTAGAACGTGTAATCTCCCCCTCCCCCCATTCCTCACCCCATTAGAATTAAAACATAGTTTAGTAGCAAACTATTGGACTACGTTGAAAATCGAGAAAAAATGGGAAGTGAGTTTCTCCGTTCGGAAAAAATGTTTCCCGCTAACGGTGAGAAAAGAACGGGACGCTGACGTTATCGAAACTGAACGGGTGTTCAGTAGGATGGCCAGGAACAGGCTGATCGATGCCGAAGAGAAGCGCCACGGTGCCAATGGTGGTGGTGGTGGTGGGCTGCTGTTGACTCTTGGACGCCGGCGCGAAACGATTTTCACGTGGATCACACACACACACACACAGCAATCCTTTTCTATACCAACTTTATTTCCTCCACCTCCACCTCCACCTCCTCCTCCTTCTCTTTTCCCTCTCCTCGTCCTCGTCCTTCCTTCCCCCTTTCCTCCTCCTGCTCGTCCAGTTATATCCTCTCATTCTCATCTTCAGTTATCTCTTCGTCCTTCTCCGTTACATCTCCTGTTATTATCTACCACGACCTTGTCCTCGTCATCCTATCACTATGTTAATCTGTCTGTCTGTCTGTCTGTCCATTCCATACTTTTGTACAAGGAAAAATGTTTGAAAATCAATGAAATTATCTAATTTAAATGATTCTCACCATGGCCAATATCACGTAAAATTGAATTCCACGAGATTATCGTATTGCGATATGAGAAAATGGTGTTAATAAAGTATTCAACTACTTCATTACTCCCCTTACCTATCTATCTATCTAACTATCTATCTAACTATCTATCTATCAGTCTCTCTCTCTCGTTTGTCATTTAATTCAATCAACCCTATTCTATTTCTCTTCGAACCTGTTGGACGGGAAATAAATGGGAAGATCGTTTTTTATTAAAATGCATTCAGTTAATACTTGACATTTTATTGAAACATCAAATCGTCACTCACGACCGGACAGTCTCAATCTTTTTCCAATCAAAAGAGAATTACTTTTGCACCGTGGAACATTGTTCTAAATTCGTTGAAGCATCTGCGCGTAAACGTTCATGCGAATTCTCTTTGATACCTATGTCCGATTGAACGACCACGACCTTGTCTCCTATCTAGGAGATGGACGCAAAAAGTTCTCATTTGCATCGTGGAACCCAGAAACGATCTTGCTAATAGGTTTCCTTTGACTATGGGTATAGCTTTGAACGTGATACGAAAGCTTCTCCGAAATGTGAGATTGAAACGTACGGGAAACGCACTGTATAAATGTATAAGATATATTCTATGTATTTATGTATCTCTATTTATCTATGTTCATGTGTACACGTGCGTGCGTGTGTATGGAGAATTTGTGTCTCTGTTAGGCCAAGACGCTAAATAACTTTCGATAAATTCTAAATAATTGTTTGTGTATTGTAACGCGTATCTTCTCATCATTTTGTTTCTCTGCGTTCGTATCATAGAAAATTTGTAGCCGTTGTTAATCATCCTGCCAAACGCGAAATCTCGCGTCAGCCTGAAATTTATTTGATAAAAAGGTACAGTCTTTTTCTTTTTTTTTCCCCCAACGACTCGCGTTCCATATTTATTTCGACGACGACGACGACGACGACGACGACGACGCTTGTTTAGTCTGCGCCCAAACCTACGGAGGAATACGCATTTCTATCGAATAGTAACACGAAAATTCGAACGATACTTTCTCGGAAAAATTCTTACGATATTATAAGCGTAACACTTTTTTTTTCAAATTTTGATATAGTAGTCAAAAAAATTATTTCCTTTACGATTTAAAGTTTTTACATCACGGATATTAGCGAAATGGTATATAGGGAAAGAAATAAGAAAACGAAACGTAAGAATTTAATCTTCCGGGCCATAACTCGATCGTCTTTGCGAAAAGACGAATGGATTCGAAGAAAATGGAGAAAGAAAGAGAAGAAATATCTCAGGTTTTCCATCGACGAGCGATAAACTATTTTCTTCGTACGAAATTGTTCACTCTCTTCTTTTTAGTTTCCCCGTGTTTACGATTGACGTCACCGTGTTTCTCCTTCGCCGCGAGTATGCTTCATTCATGAAGTCTCTACGCGAATATATACACCCAGATACGATACCGGATGCAACTAAACTCCACATTGCTGGAGTTTTGACCTTTGCAAACAACGATGCACCCAACCAGCCAGAGTTAGTTCCGCGAAATGAACGTATTAATTTATGACTCACGCAGAGAAAGAGAGAGAGAGAACGCATGCGTATTTCGATTTTATTCTCTCAATCAGATCTCAATTCAAACGAATTCAAAAACTAAAGTAACTTTCGAGAGATTTAGCAAATGGAAATTTGATTTAACATTACTTACATTTCGATGAGTAGGCGCACGAGCAACCCTCTCCGAAGATCCTCTTAAAAGTTCAGCAAGTAATTCAGGACTTGGTCCAGGTAATCCCTCTAATTTGCTCGGGCTAGAGGTAGTCCTGTGATGACAAGGTGTAGGTGGTTCGGAATTACTATTAGTTCCGGTATTATACGAGAGATTAGCGGATACTTTGCGCCTAGGTCGGAGACCTTCTTCCAGAGAGATATCTGTTGCACGAGGTTTCGCCATTTCAGCTTCGAGCATCTGACCGTAAGGGCCACGAAGTGGTCTCTTGCTGTACCTTAGAAATAATACATTAATATATACTACAAACGTAGGAAAAAAAACGAATTGTTATCGGGAATGTGTTTTTACAGAAGGGAGGAATAGGACAATATGACAAATGTTAAATTTGAAGTATTTTACCTTCGCGGTGCGTGGCCTTCGCAATCCGACAAATCGCTGGGTGTCGCAGGTGGCTCATCTCTTTCCTCGCTACTCTGAGCAGTCAGTTTGTTTCTATCCGCGTCCAAAGGTTCCGGCCATTGCGTAATGTACACGCCCTTTCTTCTCTTGCTAGTATCACCACGATAACGTCTGGTCTTACCGGGTGGAGAGGAAGCTTCCGAAGGTGTTTCACTAGGTGCCTCGCTACCCTCGCTAGCTTGGCTGAGTCTTGGTTCCTCCAACGGTGGAGTCACGATTACCTCGTGCGGTTCTATTCTGTTCTCTATTAAATGAATTTGTTTGAATGTTTAAGTAAGTATGAACCAAGGACGCGGTTAAATAATAGCGAAAAGCGGAAGAGACGTTAACACGGGTAGGCACCAAACGAACAAGTATCATTTCCCGCGAGTCGTTCAAATGGAAGATAACACGTTGCTGGAGTTGGATTACCGTGATCGGTGGTAAAAAACCACCACCAGTCTCGAGGCGATTGCTATTGTTTATTGTGAATAGCATTCTGCAGACGCGAATGAACGAACGCGCGTGAAGTCATCAATGAAGATGGCTATAACTCGATGACGCTCGAATTTCTATTTTAGATCCTGGCACCCACAGTTCTGAAAATAGTGCCACGTAAAATAATAACGACACGCCGGTAGAAGAATTCGCGCTTGCACCTTTCCTATCGGACGAGATTACTCCTTGAAAATATTCCTAACGTCTCAAAACCTCTTTCTCTCTCTCTCTCTCTCTCTATCCCAATAAACTCATATTCTAAATCGTAGAATCTTCCTACGTTAATCTCAAAAAAGTGTTTCGATCATCTTTACACGTCATAGGTTTCCTCGATAGATTATTTTCAGATGTAAGAAATTTCTAACCTTTCTGAACGATCTCATCCAACGGCGTACCATCGACGACTTGATAAATTGGTTCGGAAGGTATCACCTCGGTCGGTGAAGAAGCATCGGCTTGAAGTTCCAACCTCGGTTGTTGCTCGTTGACTTCTGGTACCGGTGGTTCCGGGCTGGTAAGTGCACTGGAAGTTGCCAAACTATCGGAACCATCGCTCCTTGGTCGGATTTCTTCAATGTTCCCTTGGTGAGGTACGCCGAGTCCTTCGGCCGAACCAACGGCACTATCAACGCTCGGCGTCGATGTCCTTGGACTTTGACGATTCGGACTGTTTTGAGACGTCGAGACACCTGGTATGGCGTCTCCTCGTCTACGAGGCAAAGTACTCGCACGGACATCTTTGTTATCCGTGCGAGCACTCGTTGCAACTGGCTGTGTTTTTTGACGATTAGCTGTAAAGATTATCAACATAATCTCTCGTAATATTATTCCATTTCGATCAAAACGATTCATTTATCTGTTTTTAATGGAATTTAATGCAAATTTTATAATACGCCAAAATGATATTCTAACAAAATTTCGTAACGATTCGCGTTGACCGACATTAATCATTGTACATTGACGTACTCCAGAGGCAAATTACGCGCAAACGTTTTTAATAATAACTCGAGTGCTCGTAGATCGTCGTCTATTCGGCCGGTTAAGATCATGTAAAAGAGAGAAAGAAAGATAAACTGAAGAAAGAGAAGACAGAGGGAAAGAAAGAAAGAGAGAGAGAGAAGTCCTAATTATCTCTTCGAGTGTCACGTAAGCTTGGCAGAACCGCAGGACGAGGAGGCGGTCCGTTCCAATAATAACGAACTTAGCGAGAACGAGTATGAGAACGAAAGTATGATAGATAGAAGAGGAAAGGGGTTTACCTCCCCCCCCGACAACGAGTAGAAACATTCGGTTGATCTCTCGCTAGGTTAATGGAGGGGTGAAGGAAAGATGAAAGGAAGGTGTTACAGAAAAAGAAAATCGTAATGACGATATTTCAGGAGATTCCTAGTTTCGAACGTATAAGGTGTTTATCTCCTTCTCTCTTTTACTCTTTGAAATACGACGTTTCCGCTTTACAAAACGAAACGATGCACGAACAACGAAACTCGAGCTTGTCACTTATTGGAAAATCGTTATTACTATTCTTTTTTTTCTTTTTTTTTTCAATTTCGGGGAGAATAAATTGTTCGTTAAAACGAGGAGAAAAAATAGAATTCTAGTTTATTCGCGACAAATCGTGATATTACGCAAGAACGGATATATGCACGTAGAAATTGATTTGATTCTCTTTCGTCGTGTGAACCATACTTAAATGACGATCGATAAATATGAATATTCTGTAAGTTATCCTACAGTTGTTTACGTTCTAGCTTTTTCCTCTCGCTTGTTTCTATTCTCTCAACGTTTCCTATTTACAATTTCTACCGTAGAGACTATAAAAGTCAAAACACGTTGGTATATAGTTCAGGGTTGAAACGTAATACACGGGATTCAGTGACGATTGTTATTTGGCTTCCAAATTCATTGACGACGAGTAACCCTTTGAAAATGATTACGAAGGCTATAACCGAAAATATATTCGATGGGTTGTCACGCGATACGAGTAAATTCTGAAATGGACATTCCCTTTCCCTCTATTGTTTGTTATCCCCCTTTTTCGGTAGAGTTACCTTGATTGAAGTCCACCTGACCGAAGGACGCACTTCTGAGTGGAGCACCGGTTCTTTGAAGAGTCAACAACGGTCCCCGAGACTCCAATCTGCTGACCGCGTCCCTGGCCTCGGCCTCGTTGCTGTTGTTGTTGTTGCCACCAATAGTTGCAATGGAAGACACGTTCAAGGTATCGCACAGATTGTCCACGCTCGTAGCACTATCTACCACTGAATCACTATATTGTCTGAAATGTTGTTGTTTCGGTGTCGGCGCGTCCTCGACGGATACGCCGACGACGCTTGCGTCATTTTTAATGTCACCAACAACATCACCACTGCTGTTACTCTCTGTCACTACCTTGCCCGACTTCGAGGATTTTCTCGAATTTTCATGTGCGAGCTGTTGTTGTTTCCTACAACTCTCGTTGCCGGTAACCATTGAGTCCGTGATACCACCAGTGAGACGTTCCTCGCCAACGCTTTCGCTTCTAACGATACTCCTCAGATGATTTTGTTGATAATATTGTTGTTGTTGATTCTGATGAAGACCGGCTTCATTATTCTTATAGATCCCACGATTATCGCATCTTCCGCAACCTTGGATGGACTGTAAATGTTTTCAATTTACAAAACAAAAAAAAAACAAAAAACATTCACCGGGGAAATGCACAAATGTTAGACATTTTTACCTGTTGATTATGAGATTGCAAAGATAGCTGACATCCTCCCGGTGGCGGGGAGGAAGCTTGAGTACGAGAAGGTCGTCTAGGAGGTGGGACAGGTGCCGGTCCCTTCAGTTTCTCCGTAAGCTCGCGAAGACGCTCGGCCTTCTCGCTGCGGGGGGCGGAAGAGGATTTTTTTCCGCTTCCTCCTCCACCCCCGCTCCAGCGGAACCTATGCAATCGGTCCACCGCTATCACCGCTGGTTCCTATATAACGGGGTAATGAAAAATAAAGGACCACGGGGGGAAAGACAGAATAATATTACGAATAAAATCTCACTTGCGCGAATTATCGAAAATCGAAATTTTAAAACGTGGCCACGAGTCACGAGCAAAGTTCAACACACATTGGCGTTTAAAAAAAGAAATGGTAAAAGCATAGATTTCTGTGGGCGCGCGCGACTTACTTTAGAAAGAGAAGGGAAGAAAACTCTCGTCTAACCGACGACGAGTTACATCTGGATCGTTTCGAAACAACGACCAATAGAAAGAGAAGAAGAAGAAGAGAGAGAGAGAGAGAGAGAGAGACAAGAGAGTTATAGTTTCCCTCTCGCCAGGAAAATCATGCCGCGGAGAAAACGAATACTCTGCCAAAATTCTACGTTCGATTCATTGCTTTTTCCCACCATTTTGTATTCTTTTTTCTCCCCCTCCCCCTCCCCATCACACTCTTCTTCATCTTTCTCTCTCTGTCTACTTCAAATCTTGCACTCGCGGCCCGTGGGCAAATACAACGCAGCGCCTCGTGCGCCCGCTGCGAAGAGAAAAGACGGACGCTGACGAAAATAGAATATCGTTCTTCGACTAGGCATCTAACTAACCAGCTCGTAAGCGTTTTCACTAAGCCCCTAGGACTATCGGACACGTTTAAACTAACGTAAGATTATGTTTTTTTCTAGAAGCTTTGAAAAGGTCTGATTGAATCTCGAATTGTTAAATAAATATGATAGAGAGGGTAAAGAACGAGATAGCAAAGGTAAAGGAAAAAGAAAAACGATAATAAGTTGTAAGAAACGCGATACGAGGTGCACGGTAGCGATCTCTTAATCGTGCGTATCGTCGACCAAGAGAGCGAGAGATAAATATACCTGTCAAGGTTAGGCATACTAGTGGCGGCGACGGAATCGTACTCGACAATCCTCGACACCGTTCTTTTCTAACGAAACCTACCTCGAGGCTTCTGACGCGATATTTTCCTGCCCGGAAGCACTCCACCTTTGTTTCTTTCGTTGACACCCGTCGTAATCACACAATAATTGGTTTTTTTTTAATCGTCAATCCGGTTGAATTATTTTCAAATATGTATTGTCGCGTACTCGTACGATTAGGGATAAGTAAAAGGTGGTAAGGCTAAAAGGGAAATTAGCGGGAAAGGAGGAGACACGAGTTGTACCTGGAGCTTGAGGGTCTGATGCTTCGTCCACTGCGCGAGCTGACGCGGCACGGAAACCGAGTGTTGCGTTTGCAGGCTCGGCGAAGAGGAGGAGTCAAACGATGGATGCAACGACGATGACGTCGAGGAGGAAGAAGAAGAAGAAGAAGAAGAAGAAGAGACGGAAGATACCGGCTGCGACGGCGATGGGATCGCGGATGATTGTGGCTGGTGGTGTTGATTGTGCTGATGCTGCTGCTGCTGATGCTGCTGCTGGTGCTGCTGTTGGCGGTGGTGCTGTTCGTTCCCCACCGTCGAGCTTTGCAGCATCCCGCGGTTATTATTAGAGTTTGGCGTTGGCCGAGCAGCCGCCAGCTTCGCATCCACCGGCTGTTCCATGCCAGCAGTGGTGGTAGAACGACTCTTCGATGAAAACGTGGGAGGAAGAGACGAAGATGACGAAGAAGACGATGGCTGTGCTTGTGCCACTGTTACTACTACCGTTGCTGGTAAAGGTGGTGGTGGTGGAGGAGGCGGAGGAACCGGCAAAATTCCGCTAACCATTTCTCTTCCTCCTCCATTTCCACCTCCACCTCCACCTCCTCCAATACTGCCAACCATCGTCGTCGTTGTCGTTGTCGTCGTCGTTGCCATCGTCGTCGTCGTCGTTGTAGTTGGGATCCTCGGCAAAGGTAGTCGAGAACGTGGCCCGATGCAACAACATTCGACTATACTCGAGGCAAGATCTATCGACGACGACTTCTCCGCTAATTTTTCCGTCAATCGTTCCCTCGACTCGCTTTCTCGCGAATTTCTCTTCCTTCTTCTCTCCGCCGATTCCTCCCTCGAACTCGCGGGTGGCAGATTTTCCTAAAAATCAAAACACACAACGTTCCTTTTCTTTTCAATCTCCAAGACAATCTAGATCTCGAATAACTCAGTCGGGATATATATTACTGATTATCATAGATAAATATTATTTGCTGTTAAAATAAAACGATATGCATTATTAAACAATGGCGTCTTTATGACGCCAGTAAGTCGACGCCATTTATTCCCACGAATGATGTTCTTGATATACTACTCCGAAACGGATCCTCTCTTACGTTGGCTCTCGTACGTATGCGCTCAGCGGTTCTTCGGTATCTCTCGCGGTTTGTTAGAAAAAACATGCTTGCTATTCACTTTTTTTCTTTTTTCTATAATTATAGTTACGAAGAATAAAAAAGAAGAGCAACGTGTCACGATAAAATGATATACGAGTCAATAAATCTATCCCAATGTGACTAATCCACTAAAAGAGAAAAAAGGGACTTAGCTATGTCCCCCTGCCCCCTCTTATATTTGTCTCTTTCAAACACAAATCGATGAAATTCTTTAATCGTCTAACCAACGACAAGAGAAACAGATAGAGAGAGAGAGAGAGAGAGAGAACAACGGTAGGAGACAACTTGGCAACTTCGATCTTTTTCGCGAACGATGAATTCCTAAAGAAAATTACTCGGGTAAGTTTTCAGCGACGTTTTGCTTTACTATGCCGTCGTCTCGTGCTAGGTGATTTGTCAGGATCGAAGGACTTGGCAGAGAAACTTGTCGCGTGCACGCGGCGAGAGATTCACGTCGACGGTATACCCCCCCATGACGTCAAGTGGATATTATTCCGGATGAACGTGGATAGGAAACGGTGCACAGTAAAATGACAGAGAAAGAAGAGAGAGAGAGGAGAGAAAAAGGGGGAGGAAGGGGGAGGAAGAGAGAGAGAGAGAGAGAAGAGAGGAAGAGAGACGGTTCAAGATCGAGTCACTGACTGGTCGGATTCTATTTACGCGATCGATTCTAAGTTTAGGATCTTTGGCGTGTTCGTTTTCTTCTTCGTAGCTGCTGAACGAATCCTTTGCTGTGGTCACTTAACGAAGGTCATTGCGACCGAGCGGAAGGTTATTACGATGATTCGTACTAAAAGAGCTATGGGGAAAGAACAGAAGAGTGAATCGTCGTCTTACGATACCAAACATTTATCTAAACTTCATTTTATCGAGAATAACATCATAAGTTTTCTAACACCTTATGTAATAATATAATCTATTTTATTCGATCTCTATACAACTATATATACAATATTTTTGTCTTTTTCCTTTGACGAGTAGGACGATACAATAAAGTATAAAAAAAATATTTATATATAAAATATATGAAATGATTTAATTATTATATTACCTGTGATAGTCTGAGACCATATCTGGTGCCACCCAATACGACGTATCCACCAGCGACGCCTCCTCCGGTCACAGCTCTCGCAGCACCTCCCAACCATCCTCCAAATCCACCAGCTCCTCCTGTCTTCTCGTTCCCGCCACCCCCGTCTCCTCCGACGCGGGGCATTCTTCATCCTTCCCTCACCCTGTAACACGTAAGTTGATTTAACCGATCGACGATCTAGATGACGGATTAACGATACCTAAATTCCACCATCGCGAGACTACTATATTTACAGTTTTACTTTTTTTCCTCCCCCCTTTTAATTTTACCCCTTTCAAAAATGATCTCTAATGCAATGATAATATTCTTTTAATGAACGAACGTCCATATCGTACAGAGAGAAAAATACGTGGCAAATATTATTATATAAATAAATTGAAACTTTGTGGATTATTTCTTCGAAAACGAGGAGGGGAATGCGCTAACGTTAGCAATAATTCACACAGCTGTGCCGAACGCATATACGCACGCGTGCACGCGTGCGTTGTAGTGCGTGATCGACCTTCTTCGTGACTCAATCGGATAAATGTATAAAAAAATAAGTTTCCGATAGTTTTTAATTAATTATTGAAATCCTTGAGAAAAAATGATCTTGTCGTTCCTTCTTCTTTGCTTTCTATCTTTATTATAAATTCTCGTTCCGGTATATAAAATAGAAACCGATTGATTAGGTGGGATTATATATATTTCTCTCGTTGTGGTCCCGTTAATATTTTAACATTTATTTTATATTATTAATAGTTCGTTAATAGATCATTGGATTATGTCATAACTGATCTACTAATAATATATAAACGTTTAACAAAAAATAGTTATAATATTATATCTTCTTTTTTCCTCCCTAAGAATTCGATTATTTTTGGTTTCGTTTTAGTTTCTTTTTTTTTCTTGGTTATCGGATTCTTCGATCATATTCCAACGAGAGACACCGTATTACGTTCTCTTGAGATCTTGTAACACACCGTAAAGAAAGTAAAAATCGAATATCAGAAGCAGAAGAAGAAGAAGAAGAAGAATAATAAGAAGAAGACGCGTTTCAAATGCAACCGAGGAACACGCGACGATAATGATATGTATCATTATTCCGGAAGTGCGTGTTATCGTGTTTAAAAATAACAAGTAAGTATCTATATAAGTGGTAAAGCACGCGACTTAATAGATATAACTCATAATCGGAATCGAATTAATGAAATCGAAGTAGAAACGATAACGGCCGAACGTTACGTTTCGATAAGAATCGCACCTTCTGTGTCTTCTTGTTTGTTGGATTTGTGTATATGTATATGTACGTGTGTGTGTGTATGTTTGATACGTAAAGTTATTTAATATCCGTTCATCGCATTGCTTGTTTTAAAACTTACGTCATTATTTTCAGAGGTATGCGAAAAGGAGAAGGGGATTTCGATAATATCAGAATACACGGAAATACATGATAGTCGAACGATGAAGTTAAAATTATTTTCCAAAGTCGATTATGCTCTTCTAGGGGGTGGGTGGGATTTGGGAGGGACATCTTTTTCAAAGTCCCAAGTTCAATTGGCCGGAACACGAATTGAACCATTGCCAGGATCGTTTCGAAAATAACGAAAAAGACAAAATTTGATCGTAGGTGGTGGAGATGATGGTGGACCGATTCGAAGGTATCTTCTTCACTTCCTTCCCCATTTTACTTTTTTTCTTCTTTTCCTAACTTTCTCTCTGATTCTCGTTCCTTCTTTTCGTACGAGAGTTAAAAGGGAAAAGAGATAAAACAAAAAATAATAAAAAGATCTGCGAATTCCCTGGATTCGCGTTCGAAGAATCTCTGCTGTTCGTGGTTTTGCATCGGCACGAGCCACACGACGAATAATCGAAATTAATTAAATTCAGTACGTGAGACACTATACGTGAGAGAGTGCATTCGGAATGTCGTGAATCTTGTTCGGCAAAATTGGGATGCATTTGTTTTTTTCTTTAACTTCGATCACAGGACAGGTACACGCCATATTCACATACGTTTTCGAAATATTTAACATCAATTTTACGAGACGCGTACGTAAGAAATACTCAAACGTAATCGAATGAATTCAATTTTATTTTTACCAATAAGAAAAATAAAATGTGTAAGAAGAAGAAGAAGAAGAAAAAAAAAGAAATAAAACCAGTCTTATACCACGTTAATTGAGCAACGTGAATAGGTCTCGCTTTAACATTGTTATGACTACTTCTCGGCAATACTCGAAGATAAAAAAAAAAGAAAAAAGAAAAAAGAAATAACGACTGGTGGTAATTTTTAAAAGCGATCGTGACAAACTTTGCAAGCACATTCCATTAAAACGTGTGGCATTCTCTTACAGAAGGTAAATCGCGGTGCAAATAACCGATAAACATTCGCGATGCTTTGTCATGAACGGAACGATGAGGGTGCAAACCGAAAGAGAAGGAAACAGAGAGAAAGAGAAAGAGAAAGAGAGAGAGTTTATTTGCGAAACGATAAACTACTCGTCTGTGAGTTGTCGTCTGACAGTTGCCGGCAAAGAGGAGAAGAATATTCCCTTCTCTCGAAATTCCTTCAAAGAACCATAAACTAGTAAATTCAAAGCATCGAATTGCCGTATACATAAATGTATATACAGATATATATATATATACATACGTAACAAGATGATAATCGAATTTTACGTAGATAATCCAGATGAAGCTTACACTTGGCGAATTCCATGGAACGATGCTTCTTTATCTTTGGTGTTAAGATCTTTTGGTGATCTCGGGGAATACGCTAAAGATAGATAGAGAAAACTATATAGACACGAAATTTTTCGCGACAACTACAACGATACAATCTAAACTGAAAACTACTCTATTTCTTATTTTAAATATATAATATTAACAGAAGTGATTTTTCTTACCGATAAATGGCGACGAACTGGCAGGAATAAATTTATACGTATATCGATATAGATCCTTTAAGATCCTTCCTCCTTTCACGTTTCCTTCCTTTGACGAGAGAAATACTTTCACGACTCGAACTCTCTCTTTCTTTCCTTCTACTTCTACCTCTCTCTCTCTCTCCCTGTCTTTAAAGTCCACAATGTTTTCGATTATTTTCAAGAAATATTTAGGAATATAGCTTGAAGATAAAGACAAAATATAGATTCTTATGGAATACGAGTTGAAGCTGGTTCCCTCCACGGTGGTGGAGAGCAAGATGCCACCTTGGTGAAAGCCTCCACGAAGAAGAGACTCCCTTGGCGCAGCGAGTGCCGCTCCCGCTAAGCGGAAGATTATCTAAATAGAGTCTCTGCCACACGAGAGAGTGAGAAAGAAAGAAATAAGAAAGACGAAGAGAGAGAAAACAGGAGGAGGTGGAGGAGGAGGTGGAGGAGGAGGAGGAACGCGCAAAGAGAGCTGCTGGGGTATTTATACGTCCTCCTATCTTTTGAAAGCCAAAGGCCGAGAGAGAACAGAACGCAGAATCATCCCCTCTGATCTTCGCGCCAGCTTCTTCTTCTTCTTCTACTTCGAAAGCATTGAACTTTTAATCGTACTAAGAAAATTCTTCCTTTCCCTCCCACCCCCCTATTCTTGGCCTACTACTTTTATACCACCTATACCCCACCCCTTTCCCTCTTCCTCACTGACCCACGAATCTCTGATCTTCTTTTAATCATAAATATTATAGTTCTAATCTATAGTTCTTTTCGTAACTTTTTTTTATGGTAGAGAACGAACTACTCGAATTTGAAAGGAAGCATTTACCGTAATCCGTTTTCAAATGGAAAATTCATTGGACAATGTATCATAGTAGTACCTATATGAGTTTCTACGAGCAAGGACGTTGACCCTCCCGAGAACACTCGGAAGAACTTCTTTCGAATAACGTTCATATAACTATCCGTAAAAGGTGACGTCGCGAGAACGCGTTTCCTGTAACACATCAATCGGCTATATATACTTTTTCCCCCCCTTTTTCTTTTTTTTCTTTAATTATATATATTACATATTGTAGATTCTCTAAGTAATACAATTTTGCGTTATCTTTATCTTCGCATCGGTCAAAAATTAATGTTAACAATATTTTTTGGTCTTCTTCTATACGATACGGAGTCAAGATAAAGATGAAAATAATCTATTCGTTTGATCTATTATCTTTCTTGCTCTCTCTCTCTCTCTCTTTCTTTATTTCTTTCGTACGATATGTATGTATCTCTCTCGGTGCATAAAATATAATTATTTTCTTTAAACTTCGCGTACGATACTCGGAGAGATATATACGAGTTTTAATGAATAATTTAAAATCGACAACTGATAACGCGAACTGATACACTTTCTTATACTTTGAAAAAGAAAAGAGAAGTAAAGTAAAATAAAATAAGGAAAGAAATAATAAAAATGAATTCGAGGCCGTATCGATAAGCTCTAGAGATATCGTTGACTGTCTAAATTCGTTCAGCGAAAACGTTCGGAAATATTCTGTCGAAGGTTGTGATCGCATTGAGCAAGAAAGCGGTACGCCTCTAATTAAGAGCGCAATGATCGTTTTACGCGATTACGTTGGTAGCTCGGTCCGTTAGAGAACCTAACAGATAAAAGAGAGAAAAGCTTGGATTTAGACATTTTTATATGTCTCTTCAGTAAGTCGGTTGTCCCGCTATACGTATTTCTTTCTCTCTCTTTCTCTAATAAAAAAATATAATTCTCGTCTCCTCGTCAAATTCGATAGCTTTCCACATCGTAATGTGGGGACTCGCTCGAGTTTGTATATTCAAGTGTTTGAGGAAACGAAATATGAAATCATCGAAAAGTAAAACGTTTAATTGAAAGATTGAATAAAATAGAATAATATTTGGAATATTTGTTTAAAGATATAATAAATGGTTAGGGAGATAATGATGGATAGAAGTTTATTACATCCATTCGAGATGTATGCGTCAAAGATCAAAATACCTAAATAAACGTTAGAATCTAAATAACGTGGAAAGGTGTGAAAGAATAGAGAGAGAAAGAGAGATAGAGATAAAGATAAAGGGAATTCTTATAGTCACTCCACGCGAAATAACAAGACGAAAGAACGTTAAATATTTTTGTATTTAGTCAGTCTAATAGAATTTATTGGATGAGACGTGACAAAGAAACAACAACGTTCCTCGCGTTACATAAAACGAATCGTAATTGTTTCCTACGCTCGAAGTTGACATTTTCCAGTTACTATATCGAAGTTGAACTTTGTAGAATGCTTGGGAGCTACTTTGAATCTTAAACCGACCTAGTTTTAATGAGAGAAAAAAAAAGAGAGAGAGAGAGCATTAGTAAAGTTCATTTAAACTTTGTTAATGAAATATACAATAGTTTTTTTTTTATATAGAATTATCTTAAAACTCTCGTAATAATTAATGAATACTTCGAGTTACTGTTGTAATTTTAATTCATCTTAGAATAGATGCCGTGTTTCACTCGGAAGTGAGAGCAGGTTGTTGCATCTAAATGAAAATAAAAGAAAATAAAGATAGAAGAAAGAAGAAGAAGAAGAAGAGAAGAAATCTTCGTTCTAGCACATACAGCCCACGTTGCTGGATGGGACTCCTTTCCTGGCTTTGGCGTGCACCTTTACCATCACAATACCTTTCTTCTATCTATTTCTTTTTTTATTTCTTTCTCTTTCTCTATCGAGGAACACGCGCGCGCATCCAGCTTCCGGGATCGTCAGAATCACGGACAAATTTCGCCTTTCTCCGATCGCAAATACAATTCTACCACAAAATAGAGATAACAGAAAAAGGATAAAACACTAACAGGTTCTACAGTTCCGAAAAGATTCTTCTTTTATTATGTTTGGGAGAAAAAAAATGATACGAGAACGATTGTTCTCAGACGATAAAACAAGATTATAGAGTACGATATACACATACTTGTATATAATTAAATATAATATATATATTATAACAATATACTTACTTTTTTCGCGACAAATTTCCGCGCGATTTGTCCGAAAAACGAGAGATACTCCCACGACGTTTATTTCCATGCGAACCTCTTGTTTCTTTCCTAATGTTGTCTCTTTATTATCATCTCTCTTTAGATTTCTTCTTTATTAATATTTTGTTTGATTTTCAATAGGAAAAGCTTATCTTATTTATTTTATACTTCCTAAAAATTGTAAGAATCGATTCAAGTGATCCGCAAACGAGATACGCACGCGTATCCGAACGAATTTGAAGGTTCGAGATACGATAAATAATAGATCGATTCGTTCGATCTCTCAAAGATAAGCTTTCCCTCTCTCTCTCTTTGTATTTTTCTTAGTACTTCGTTTCGTAATGCGATCTCTTCGTCGGATCCAAACCGATTCAATTTAAACGATCCAAACACCAAGCATTTCTTCTCACATGATTACAATTTAATAGCAGTTTCACTAGAAATCATTTCACCCAATAACCGGTCGTATTCCGCGTTAATTCATAACACGATTTCACGTTAGGTGTATGTGGTCCAGTCACAGAATAAAAGGTATCCTCTCTTGCAGAAGTGACTTGTTCAAAGCACAATCCACCCACCAAGCAGAACTCGGGGAGGTCTTTGAAACGAAATAAAGTCGGCGTCTGGATCCTTTTATCGACCTTGGACCACTCGATCCCCCTTACCCTCGATCGGTCATGATGCTGCTCCAAAACTCACCGTCTCATTCTTTCTCTCTCTCTCCCTTTTTAACTGGGTATCTTATTCCGTTCGTAGGGAGGGACGAAAGGACGTCGTCCTTTTCTCGAGGGATTCTCTTGGCTTCTTTCGAACGACTATCTCGACCGGCTACGAAGTGTAGGAGGATGAGGAAGAGAACGATGAAGGAAAGGAGGAGGAGGAAAAGAAGAAGGAGGAGGAGGAGAAAGGGGAGGAGAAGCGTGCTGTTTTAGCAAAGAAAGAGATAAAGGTTCGAGTAGGTGCGTGGTATCTTGGCACAAGAACGACTCGACGAGGAGGAGAAGGAGGGAGGTAAAGAAAGAAGAAGATGAAGATGAGGAGGAAAAGAAGATAGAGGAGGGAACGATAACGAGGAAGACGCGACGATATACGAACGACGATTTCTTTTTGGTCTCGCGACGAGAAGAAAACTCGTACGATTTCGTACGTTCAGTTCCAGCTGGGCACGATGAGCCTGTTGCTGTTGCTGTTGGTTCTGGTACTGGTACTGGTGCTGGTGCTTGTGTTGCTGGTACTCGTGCTGGTCTCTCGATTGGATACGAGAGACCATGGCGCGCTACTATGCAACCGAACTAAATCGAATCGAATCGAATCGAGACGTGTCGAAACGAGACGAGAGACGCGGACGTACCGGCGCTAAGGAAAACTTCGACCGTCTCCGAAGAGAGACCGCACTGGAGACCCAAAGGGATGGGTCCCCACATAGTCTACTTGGAGGGGGATCTCTTAGTATACCATCTTTCGAATAACTCTAAGAACATTGATCGTTCTTACGATAGATCTTCACATTATATCGCATTATTTTCACTTTAATTCTTATATATTTTTATTTTCATCGATATTTTTAATTCGTATGCAATTTATTTGATTTCGTTCTACGTAACTTTATCTTTTATCATTTGTTTTTATTTTTAATATTTCTACGAACCGATCGTATATCTAATTTGATATCTATTCAACGACAACGAAGTTAATTCCATCGTCTTCCGTTCATAGCGCTAGCAACGTTCTTTTGATCTCTCTTTCTTTCTCATTTACTTTCCCTCTCTCTTTCTCTCTCTTTCTTTTCACGTAACACGCGTGAGAGGGATATATGTATACTTAAAGCATGATCGAGATAGTAGGAATCACTATATACGTGGCCTTGAATTGTGGTTGCACGCTCTCGTGGCGCCAAGTGCATCTCAAATTTGAACGTTCATTCAAAACTTGAAATTATTACGTACAATTAAAAAACGATACAATATTTAATATATTAACATGACTCTCTTATCTCATTAAGGTAATATTTAATATTTTAATTTAAATATATATATATATATTGATTATGTAAAAATTTCGTTTTGGTTTCGTTATAATATATCTTTGAGGATGAATCTTACCTATCCACTTTCAAAAGGTTTCTTTTCTTTTGCGGTACCAAAATGGCTGCTCGCTGCGGAAACCGCAGGCGCGTAATTCGAAACTATTGAACTACATTTTCCACAGGTTAATCACCGAACAAGAAAGCTTCAGGCCGTTTGTATGCATATATACGAGATATTTGATGTTATAGAATGAACGTCAAATGAATTTGTTTAAATAATATCCATCGAGTTTTAAATACGAAAATGAAGAAATTATTGTTCGGTGCATAAGTTTTTGCGCGTTCTTCGAAAAATAGCAAAAAAATAAATTGAAATATGAAAAGAACTGTACGAAGGTCCGCGCACATTTAAAATTGGTCGACGTCATGATCTCTCTTCCTTATGGAGGGGAGTAAATAGTACGATGACTCGACGCCATTAATAGTATTCTCGTTGACGCGTAGATTGTTTTGCACGTAAATCATTTTTTCGAATGATTTTCTCGTCAAAGGAACTCTGTTCGATTATTCTCCGATAATTTCTTCTAAGGAGATGCGATAAATCACGATCGATGATCACATAAGTGACTTGAAAATATTTCATTTTAATAAAAGAAGAAAAGGTTGCATACAACTGGTCGACACAACGCTTTCTATTCTAATTATACGTTTTGGTAATTTTCTATGTTAAAAGGTGTACTATTATTTGCGCGCGAATATTTCGATTTAAACATTGTCTATTCTTGTAATATTCAATTTTTTAGTGTTTACAACGATTAATAACAGTGGTCATTTAAAAGTTGGTTACCCTGATCTGACGACGCCCAACTGTTAATAATAAGTAGGTGGAGCATTGCTTACGTTTGAAAAGGAAGTTAGATCATCGGTGTTTTCATTCATCAAAACGTGAATGATAGTACGAACGTTGCATATTTAAGAAACTGTAATTTCCAGTATCAAAATGACGGCTGTACAATCCTGCTGGTCTCCATGCATTTGGACGAATAATATTAAAACAGGATCCAAAGTTGTTGCATGTTATACAATGGTATTAATGAAATTTTAATGAGAACTAATCAATGATATATAACACATATTATTTACATGGATACATTTTTTAGGCATTGAGTATCGTACTAATTACTTTAATATGCTATCAAATGAACGGTGGAGATTCAACGCAGTTATACAATCCTCTTTTTGAAGCAGATGTCAGAGGATGTAAGTAGAAGAAATATATACAACATATTTATAGAAAAGAATGTTTACAAGAAAATATGTTATTACTTTCAGCGATGCAAGTTTTTGGAAGCATTTTAATCGTTTACTTCTTACTTCTTGCCATCTCTGCCATTTTAATGATATATGGAATCCGTGAAGGTGTACGAGGATTTTTGTTGCCATGGTTGGTCCTGTGGTTTTTTTTTATCTCCTTCCTCTGTGTATTTGGATTATGGCTATTAGGAGGATATTATATTTATGTAAGTGTACAAATAGTTCATTTCAATGAGACACTTCAATACTATGATTATTTTTCTTTTTAGTTGGAATCTGTATTTATTACACTATGTATTTGGCTTTGGATGGGATATAATGTGAGTAATCCGAGTCACAATTTAAACTTTATGAAATATATTGTCTTACTTATATTAGAATCTAAATTTATAATCATATTTATATCTGTATATTTTATCAAATATAGATATACTGTTGGTTGGTCGTCTATTCTATGTATAAAATATTTGAAGTACTACAGTCGCCTAATATTGAATTACTTTGGCCATGAAAGGTATATTGCAATAATGCAATAATGTAAAAAAGTGCCTTTTTCTACATACTCAACACCAAAGTAAGCTGGAATCCTTAACATCAACGTTGTGTTCTTTTTTACTTCACTAGTATCTAGTTTTAGGTATGGTTTTATGATCAATTTCATAAGCCTAGCAGTATGCGAGAATGATCAATGAATCATCAATAATTTTAATATTTATCTCAAATACTATAGATCTAAAAGTAGATATTCTGAAATATTAGATTAATTCTAAAATTTAGGAAGAAGTCTGATCTGCCACACATCCGTCCACATTCCATAGACTTGATATAATGTATGACTTGTAAAGGAAATATGAAGGCACATTACAGTGACTGATGGAATAAATGAATTGGATGATATAAAGTTGTTAGCAGTGTAGCTGTTGAAAAAGCTTTTTATACAATTATACAAGAATATGCACTTTTTTGTGCAACTACAAAGTTCTTATATTTTTCATATGAGCTTTAGAATACCAACTTTACTAACAGTACAAGTAAAATATTTACATATTTATACATAATAATTATTTACTTATTTTTTTAATTTTATATTTCTATGACGTACATTTGTATGTAATATATGTTATGTATACATGTCGCTTTATTATCATTATTTTTAAATGAAATCTTTTATTATATATATAACGTTTGAATTATAGACTATATGAATTATTACCGATGTTAATATGAACTATTATTGATAATAATTTATACATGTAAAAGAATTTATGTTACCTTAATTATAATCTACATCATAATGAAAAATAAATACATAAATTATAATTCAAAAACAAAGATAAAATTCATGACACACATATTCGATACATGAATAATATTGTATATTGGTATAAACTCAAGACGTGTAGAACTTTAGCGACAAGTATAGGCAAAATGTTAATTAGACGCATTAATAAACTAAATTAGTATTAGTAAATTGAACTCATACTTTTGAATCTTTCATATCTGCGCTAGATAGGATACAGAACCAATGCAATTTTGATTTACAACATATCTCAAAAAGAATGATAATTAATAGAATTAATAAAACATAATAATATATACTGTACATTATTTTATAATAAAAATCAGAATACACAAATAAATCTCTACAGTACCTATGAGTTAATAAGTACTTCAGTTCATTGATTTTATATGTCATGAAATGTATAACAAATAAAATATAATATGACAAATATTACATGGAATATGTAATACCCATGTCAATATGTGTTACCCAGGTCTTACCATGAAGAGGTTACCGCTTCTGAGAATTCTATTATAAATAAATATTAATCAAAATTTTACTAATTGTTACATCCATCGAAGTTTAAAAAAAAAGTATAAAAGAAAAACATATCAAAATAATCTTCTAGTCAAAGTATTGCACGTTTATAAATATGTTAATATTTTAACCAATGTACATGTGTGTAAAAAATCTTAAATATAAGTAGAAAACATTAGAGTATTGAAATAATTGTTAATTAATCAAAAAATATGTATATATTGTTTAAAAGCACAGAGTATACATTCGGTGCATTGTCCTCGTTGAAATTTACCGCCTTTCCGTCATATAAACATTCTCATTTTTTCCGATTAGCTTTTGTTAGATTTCGATGTGTAAACATCGATGTGTGTTATATTGTGTGGTGAAATTTAATTAATTGTAGATAAAATATTCGAACGAACAGTTAGTACATTACCTTTTTTAAATAATTTCGATTTTTAGGTTATTATTTTATAACTACTTATCTGCTTATAACTATGTACGTTTTTCTCTCTATATATATATATAAACAAATGAAAAAGCGGTAATTATTAAAATAATTTACGGTAATTCTATAATATATTGATAGTCTTATGAATAAAATAATTAAAAATGAATGAAGATCTGATGCAACGTGTTAAAAATACTTTACAATCAGAATCATATACTATGAATGATACTTGGTTAAGAGATTGTATAGAATATTTCATTTCAGAAAATAACACAGTAAGTTATTATAATAAAATATTTAACAAATTTGTATTTTAACCATAAATTTTATTTTATGATTATATATTATTTCAGGTAGTGTATAATGAAATATTAAAATTTGTGAAAACGCAATGGCAATTAAGTGATTTACGTGAAATTAATAATGATAATGGATGTTTACCGAAGGATCTTAATAAATGTTTACAAAGAGTCTTACACGGATCTTACATCCTTCAGGCAATATTAAATTTTATATACACAGCGTGCACATACATTTTTATATACATTTAATTTCATGTATAATATTTTTTAATATTATTACAGGTGAACAAAATGTATGATATATCAACTTCAAAGTATAAGCAATTAGAGCGAATACGTAATGTTTCCAATGTAAATATAGATGCAACGGAAGATGTCAAACCTCAAATGTGGGAGCCTAAACCTAAGAGGATGCTTCAATTACATCTAACAGATGGTCTTCAAGATGTTATTGGTATAGAATACAAAACCATTACATCCTTACAAGTAATGTATTCTTATGAACATAATTTAGTTACATTTTAATTTTATATAATAATCCGATATATTACAAAACATTGTATTAACATATTATCAATCATACTGACTCTTTCTGACCGTATGCTGTTCATTATGACAAAATTAAATGAAAGAAACAAATATGCAATGCATTGTTTAGTAAAATTGAATCGGTAATGTTTTAAATTTCATAAAAATTAATAATATTATTATTCGATAGGATACATTAATACCTGGATATAAAATAATGATCATTGGACCGGTGATATGCAGAAGAGGTGTTATTTTATTAGAAGAACGTAAATTCAGAGAAATTGGGGGAGAAGTAGAAAGTTTATCTATTAGCAATGCATTAGAAAATGTTCTAGCTCGAGCTTTGTAAGTTTTTTTTTTTTTTAAATAAAACCAATGAAACATCCAAAAATTTTGAATTCATTTTAACATTACAGAGATTGTCCAGAAAATCCAGATCCATATAATGATAAAGACAGGCAGGAAAATAATAACAGACCATTACCTGCTCCAAATAATTTTTTTGAAGATGATTTTGAAGTTAATTTGGAAGAAGTTACACAAATAGAGCAACGAATGGAAATGGATAATATACAAAGTACAAATAACACATCAAATTCTGTAAATACGCAGAATAATTTATCTAATCGACTGGATATCATGCAACCAACTTTTGTTCATCCGAAAAATCCTGTTAATGATTATAATATACATCAAAGTAATAATATTAATGAAGCTTTCGATATGGATGACGAGTTGTTAGGAATGCTCGAAGAAGATCAATTTATTGCATCTACTTCATGTACGTCTACCTCGAGTACATTTAAGAATACTGGAAGCACGGATAGAGGAAAGAATTTGGTAAAACCTTTTCGAGTATTACCTAAAGAAGATAATGACTATAACATAGAAGATAATATTGTAGTAGTGGAAGATACAGATAATAAGATAGAAAGTTTTATCAAAAAAGAAAATATTAAACAACAAAGAGATATAGATTTTCCAGAAGATGATTTTAACTTTGATGACTTAGATACGTTGGAAATAATGGAAAAGAAAGCTACGATACCAAAACCTGAAGAATCTGATGTGAAAAGAAACTTTTTACCAAGTAAATTATTTTTGAAAAATACTGATTCTGTTAAAGGTAAAAACTCTTGTGAGACATTTAAATTTAAGACGAGTAGTAGTAATACAAGCAAAGAATCGTCTAGTATGCAAGTTGATCGTCAAAAAGAAATTGGAGTTAAAAGACCTGCGGTACGACTTAGTATTAATATTTATATATACATATGATATATATAAAAATATAAAGGATGTCCTGTAACTGGTGGTACAAGCGAGTAGGGTTGATTCTATAATTATATTAATTATATTCTATATTTTCGACTTAGTTTCTCATGTAGAATACTATTCGCTTGTATTACCAGTTATGAGTACCCTATATATAAAGGATATAGAATTTATATTTTAGACATTAATATCACCATCGGTTATTGGTTCGTCGAAAAAAAGTTGTATTAAAGAAACATCGAGTCAAGAAAAAGGTGTTAGAAAAATTTCGGACTTTTTAAAAAATAAGAATTTCCAAGAAGACATACCAGTGAAAATTTGTGACTTTATTTGTGATATTATCGAGGAAACGGTTAAAGAGATAGCATTTAAAACTGTACGAGGACAATTCATCACATTTGGTAAATTATCTAGGAAAAATCTTTGTTGGCAATTGGAAGGAACGATATCTGATAAAACTGCAGCTTTAGATGTTGCTGTAGCTTCTGAGGTATTTTATATTTAATAACAATACCTAAAATATATTCGTTAGTATATTTTTATAATTTCTTTTATAGATTATTGAAAGATTTCTTGGGTTCAGTGTTAAAGAATTTTCCCAAAAGAAGAAGCTCGCAAAAGTCAACTGTGATATAGAACATGAATTAAGAATGGTAATATTTAAATATTTATTAACACGTTAATGGACACGTAAACTCAAATCTGGACTATAGCTATGTTTCAATCGGGGACACTATTATTTGGTTGTAGGAATTTATTATACGATAAATAATGACATTCTGAAATAAGATAAATTTGCAAAGAATGAAAAATTGATATTAGGAAAAGAAATTGCAAAAAACCAGTATGTATATAAGTGCAATATGCTGTGCTTGTAGTATGAATTTTGGTCCTGCGAGAAACATACTTAGTCTATGTATGATCATCAACATGTTAATGATAATGTTGTGTCACTCATAATTGTTTTCACATTGTTTATATTATATATTTTATTTCTATATAATTTAATGATATTTTAGGCTTGCCGTAATGCGGAACAAAAATTGAAAGAATTGGATGCATTACTAGAATTAGAATTAAATCCAAATCAGAAAGCAAAAGTTGTAAATATTAAGCCATTAACCGATCAACAAAAGGTAATAATTGATAAAAGATTAAAGGCATTAAAGATTTAAACAAATTCTAGTTCATATTATTACTATACAAAGCCCTTTACATTTATTTTTTTCTTGATAAATTATTTAAGTAAGATATTCTTTATATATATTATTTTAAATTTTGGCCTATGTAATAAAACTGAAATTCTCTAATTTCAAACTCAAAACAGTCTAAGCAAAAAAGAGGAGTGCATTCATTTTAAAGTATTTTCTGTCTTTCTTTTTAAATATTTTTGAATGGCTGTGTATTCTCATGAATACCACACCCTGATTATGTAAAAGCAACGAGCCTTGTGCCGAGGTACAGGCCAATCACATACCTTGCTCTTCAGTGGCGTAGAATTTAAATTTAATAGTACAACATAAAAATCTATTTTATTTATGTATATAAATGTATTTAATTATTTAGTATCGTATTTTATATAAAAGTTTTGTGTGCGTGTGTAATTATTATGATAAAAATAATTAGGTTTAACGTTAATTAAATTTTAAACGATATTATTGAACAAATGTTAAATCTAATTTTTATCTAAATATTTTAAAGTTTATCGTTTAAAATGAAGTTGGCGTTGTATTCAATTTAATTCTACGATTTGAGAAAAGTGCAGTGATCGACAGACTCATCCATCCATTAATTGTTATGATAAGTTTGTGCAGTTACATTTTCTGTGATGTAAAATGTATTTTATTTATTTTTACGTAATTTTTACAAAAAATTATTGACTATTTCGCAAAGTGTTGTGGATAGAATTTGACATAGGAAGCCTTAGGAGATCTTAGATTCAGTAAGAGCGCCAAGAATTGTAAAAATTGGGGAACCACTGTCGTTGGAATTAAAAAATGGCACGTAATAAATAACAATTTACTTCATTATTGAACTTATTTAATAAAACATATTATTATAATGTGAATGATATAACAAATTACGTATTTTAGGTATTCGAAAACGAACAATATTTTGTTTAAATCATCATTTCCATATTTACATATACACACATACATACAATTTTTAATAATTACTTTTGTATTCAACGTATATAAAAAAAAACAAGAAAAAATATTGCAAAATTGATTGAGTTAATTGTTGAAACAATTCAAACGAAGTTTTCTAAAACTCATATAAACTATGAAAATCCTAAAGGTTTTTTTTTAACATACTTTGATACGAAAGTGAACTAATGAAAATCTACTTAAACTATTCACAGCATCGTTTATGTACTCGAAGCGCAAATTTTTGCCCAAAATAAATAAAATTCATGTCACGTTCTTAATGTTAACAATAATAATATTAATAGTCATAATATTAAGCCTCTCTCGTGCATCATTTAATTAATGCATCCTTACCGTAAAAGTTAATGACACAGAAAGAAATTAAATTCGCTGGATTGGATCCTTAAAAGCGAATTACATTTTGTACATTGTCGATGTACAGTCTTTATCAAAGTAATCATTACTATTATGGCTAAGTTTTAAAAAATAGGTACACATAGTTAATCAATTAGAGTATCTTAATGAAACATTTATACTTGGGTTTCGCTACCACTGTGATACTTTCTATGTTTTCTATGTTTCTTATGACTTCTGTAATTACTCGATGAAGAATTAGCAATGATTTGATGTTGATGTAAAAGCGAATGTTGTGGTGGTGGTGCCAAATGACTAAGATGATGAATTTGATGAGGTGTTGGACTGGTAGAATTTGGGTTGAAACAATGAACTACTGGTACAGGTACACCGTGAGGATGACACTTATGTGGTGGTTGTTTGCATGGTGGTAAGCGTCTCCAAACGTTCATTAAATTTGGCCACCAAATCCAAGCAGCTGTAACTATACCACTTCCCAAAGTAGCTACCAATCGAAGAATGAAGAACTGAACATAAGGTTTGGATGGTACTTTAGGTGAACTGGATGGTTCTGGTGCTCTCAGCCATTTTTCACGACCCCACCATTCGTAAAACGTTGTACTGGTTAGACAAAACAATGTCACTGCATAAAAGGTAGCAAAAAAGCCGACTTTGATTAACAGAAGTTTCTGTCTCCTGTAGATTTCCACCGGTGATTTAGACGATTCTCTTTGCCTGATCAATGGATTTGGATGCTGTTGTTGGTGTTGTTGCTGTTGGAGTGCACTTACTACGGAGCTTGGTGTCACCAATGGTCTTGGTAATAGAAGAGATGTTAAACCGACTAGGAGGAATGTTGTGCCCACACAGAAGTATGCAAATTGTGGTATTAATACCAGAACTAAAAGGGATCGAGCATTTTGTTGTCCAACGAAGCAACTTCCTAAAACATAAAGGTGAGCAAAATTTCTATTATCTATGTATAAATAAAATATTTTATTTGAAAATTAGAATTGTATAAATAAGCTTAAAGTGTATGGCAGAGACTGAAGCAAATACTACATGGAATTAAACCCCCCAAATAGAAAGAAATTATGTAACATTTAGGTCTTGGTTGTCTATTAGACCAAAATTCGAATCCAGGACCTTTCGTTTTTCGGATGACTACTCTTTTAGATGAGCTCTGCTCAGGTACAATTTTTGACCCAAATTATCTATTAGTTCCTTCTACTTGGAGGGCTTAATTATAGTACGTTTTTTCTATTATTTTTTCCATTTTCAATTACATAAATTCCTGTCGTCCAATAAGTTGAAAATATTTTTTTGTTCAACATATTTCCTACCACGTGTATATATCCGTGTCTAATGCAGTTTGACAGGTAACGTGTTATCAAATATGAGAGCCATAAAAGAGTATAATCAGATTGTTAATAATAATTATTTTTATATATTTTCTTTATATTTAAATATAATTTAGTTGAGAATATTTTCTCAAATGGATCGGAACGTGAGAGCGTGTAAGTTGGACGGCTAGGACAAGTAATGCCAGCGTAGATCTTTATCTTATTCACGATGCTCCTCATTATCGCGAGACGGCTGTCCGAGAAAGAGAAAGATTCACGATTCACGATTATTCACCCTTCAACCGGTTGAGATCGAAAGTAAGTTTCTCACCTCGTGAGACCAGACGAGAACTCACTTAATATATATCAGTCAAAGCGTTTATATCTTTGTACTTGTTATTACATTTATCTTTAATAATGATACGAAATTACAATTAACGATATCATACGAAATATGAACAAAATTTGTTTCACTTATGTATGAAAATACTAACGAAACTTTTGATTCAGCTCAATATAATGAACGGTATCAAATGTATTTGTGTAATACTTACATACTTACAATGTAGGTAAGTATGTAAGTACACATAAGTGATACTTGTTAAAAAGGGATAACGGAAAGAGAAAATAACGGTAAGAATCTCGCGTCTGACACTTCTTCTTTCGGCGAGTTTATCCGGTTAGTAGTGTGGATCTTCTCTTATGCGAATCACCTCTCCCTGATCTTTCCATCTTCGTCTCTTTCATCATAAGGAATGTGAAGGATCTCGAGTCCCTTGGTAAAATAAAAATTCTTCTTCTGCATTCCAAGTCCCTGACCAGAGTTAAATATTTCTTAGAGTCTTAAAAAATGACGACTATGACAACAACGATGACAACAATGACGATGGTGATGAACTTGTGAAAACAAAATAATCTATAAAGTTTTCAACAAAAATTCAAAGTCTATACTTTTGATATTTCGATGATGATGATGAAAGTAGAAAAAATGTATTAATTAGTTCGTGATATTGGGAAAGTTAATATCGATTTTTAAGGAAAATTCAGAGACTCTATACTGTTTCATATAACTTTTCAATCCTAAGAGAAGCAAAATCCTCACAGTAACAAAATAATTAACCAATCGTATTCACTCGTGATCTAACTTTTTTGTTTTGTTTTTTTTTCTTCTTTTATTATTCAATTAGAGTTAATAATGATTATGATGGGACGTCCTATTTGAATGTTTTTTTGTTTTTTAAAATGAGGAATCGTGAGAGAATTTTCGATTGGAAATAAGGAATCTTTTGTAGAGGAAGACTCGTCGTCAGATATATCTTTTCTCGAGGGTAGTCAAGGCAACGGGAAGGCAAGGCTCGTCGTCGATAGACAGGCTCGATAAATTGGCCTTTAAACGTCGTTCGCTATCTTCGAAGAACAATCTCGTTTGCGAGGCACGAGCGTACGGTGGTCAACGAGATCGTACTATACTTCGAGAAGAAGCCAAGAGAACATGCGTATGTATTCTTCCTTTCTTTCTCATTTATCTTTTTTTTTTCTTCTCTCATTCTCTTTACTAACTCATTCCCATAAGTTATTCGTGTACGTGTTATACACATTTCGTATGCATTTACTCTCACGTTCTTATCAAAACCGATTAATCTTAATTGCTTTTACTTCTATTTATTTGGTCAGTATTTTCTTTAATAAATGTTTTGTTTATACAGGTCGATTCTGGGAACTTTGGAGGGGGAGAAAGCTTTATTGCACTTTTTTTTTTAAGTACAAATCGGAACATATGATAGAGGGAAACAAATCATACGGCATAATACGTCCTAACTTTTTTTTTTATCTTATTTTCTTTCTGTAGATACACCCGTGCACCAACGAATTGCAATTGCATTTTATATATCTGATTTTCTTTTATTATTATTTTATCCTTTTTATATCCAAAGTAGAAAATGATTACTTTCTACTTGAAAATGTTGATAGTTAGTATATTTAATATTATTATTATTATTATTATTATTATTTAAAAAAGTAAGTGAAATAGAAGAGAAGAAGTATAAAAGTATTGTATGTGAAATAAAACATCGTCTTTGCTCTTAGGTCAGAGATAAAAATGGAGTCGAAGTAGCTTTTGATCTTAGCAGAGGACAGTGAAAAGTTGCAGAGCGGGTCCAAAGGTATTTGCATTGAATGTCGCCTCTCCTACCGGGAGAGAAAGAGGAGCCCTCGCTAACCGCAGCCGATTTCACGTTAGCTTGCCTCGAGTCTTCTCCTTGTGCATGAACATCTTATAGATTTTCTAAATTCGACCATAAATTTCTTCAAGATTCTTAACAGACAATAAGTAGATACTATTTTATTTCTTCTAAATCCTTTTCTAGTATTATTCGACTGCAAATTTCTTCACGTTTGTTAAAGTACAAACAATGAAAGTTATTTAATGTTTTATTTTTCGGTGATGTAATATTAATCATGGATCAATCAAATTTGTTATCGTTGTGTATTAAACGTAGCATATTTTTTTCGAGTTTGCTGAGATACAAAAAATGACACAATCATTTGATATTAATTTATCCATATATGTTTTTTTTTTCATGCCAAGAAATTTATATGTACAAATGTTATTTGATTCTTATTGAACTTTAACCATTCTAGTTTGGTTGCATTGCAGCACGTTCACATGAGTTTATAAGATTCATAGACAGACCGAGAAAGTTATAAGAAACGTGGGCGGATGTGTACTACTTCATCGTAGTTCAAAGTACGACTGGAAGAACCAGTCATGCTTGGGTTCATCTAAATCGAACGTTTGAAAATAAGCATATACGGAATAACTTTTCTACATATTAAACAATATATTTTATATCTAAAAGAAAAATAATTTAATTATAAATATATAATACTCACCAGTAAGTTCATCAGCATCCACATCCCTGGTAACCAAAACGGCGATCGTCTGAGCAGCTGGAAGTCCCCAAGCAGCAACCGATCCCACGGTTGAGAAACCCTGCTGGAGGCCGAAACTATCCTCCTTGCAATTACCTGCCGTTCGCGACCATTTTCTCGCGACTATGCACCACCATGCACAGATGTTGACCCACCTTCGTAAAATACAAATAATACTATTATTATTATATTCACAAGATTATGATATATTATAATATCAGAGTAATATTGTTTGAACATATCAAACATGTAGGGTATTTCGTAAAATAATGATAGTACAGTTTCAACGCTCATCGTAAGTATAGTTCATTATAATGGGTTTTGGTATAAAGTGTCTGAGAACCATTCGAGCTTTAGCGGTTAGATGAACAATGATCCCATGTGCCATGTGAGATCGAACAAGTTCGTAGGATTGGAGGTGCCTGGCTTTTGTACATTTGTTGATTGGTGCAGATGCAGGTGCTCTTAAGAGTACTGTTTTCTTCGTTGCACGCTTCTCCACCCCTTAACTTTCAACTTCTTCTCACCCATTTTCTCTCAACACACATACACACAGAGAATAGAAAGAGAAAGAGAACCCAATTGCGGTTACGAGTTAAGAACCCCCTAACGGCAACCAACCGGCATCGTTTGCTTGCTTGCCGTCGTTTCTTTTAGACCAGTATCGTTGACGGGGCCTTTCAAAGACTCCTATACCAAGAACTTCAACTAATTAATCACGCAAACCTTTGACGAGATCGAAAAATCAGTGAACGGGTCAAACGAGGCGCAAATACTTTTGCTTGCTAAAATTCCCCTTCTTCCCTCACCCCCATCTAACTCTTCAACCACCCCTTTTCCACTTCCCACTTCTCTTAACTTCCTTCACCTTTCCCCCTTTCTTTTTATTCTCGTTTCTTATTTCCTTCTCAGTACCTCTCACAACAACAACGACCTTCTTCACACTCCTGCCGAGATTTAAGATTCTCCTCCATCTCTCGTTTCAACGAGATCGTCGATCCCTTCTTTCTTGTTTTTTCTCTTTTTTTTTACCATTTATCTTATGCGAATCGACTTCGATGATCGATCGGGTATATTGGAAGATATTCGAGTTTGTCGATCGAAATTTATGATAAGAAGGAATGTCTTTTAGTAGATTGGTATTACCTGTTAGATATTTTCTAAATATATGAATATTTGATTTTAATTTAAGATTACATTTGTCGAATTTATCCTTGAAAATTATTTGATTTTATTAACAGTTGAGTAACACGTAACATAAATTATTGAATGAAATAAGAAAAATTAAGATTAGATATTGGATAGAGAGAATAATTTATAATTAATTTAGAATTTATTATTAACACGCGCGAAATGAAGAAAAAGATAGGGAAAGAGAGAGAGAGAGAGAGAGAGAGAGAGAGAGAGAGAGAGAGAGAGAGAGGAAAAAAGGAAAAGTAGTAGAATGTGTGTTGTTAATAAAATATTTCTTATCGAAAGGAAAGAAATATTATTAAGCATCAACGAGAGGAGAGAAGAAGGATCAGGGGTTCGATTTATCTTGAAAGCCGTAAGGATAGCACGAAGTGGAAGGAGACTAATTAAATGTGATTGATCGCTGTTCGACGGTCCGGGATGTAATTACGTACGCACATACACATACACACAACTACAGCGAGTTCGTGCCGAAGCAGGTAGGAACATAGCTCGTAAATCATCCACGAACATCTCGCAGATGTCCGTCGAATAAGAGGAAAAGTCTTTTTTTTACTCCCTTTCTCCTTATCTTTTTTTTCGTTTTAAGAAATAAAACCGAAGAATCGAAGTATCTGTTGACGGTGAGATTGCCGCCGCAGGAAATAACTTGTTGTTGAGGAAGAAAAAAATAAAATAAAATGAAATAACTCGATTATACATTACACGGCTATAATAAATTAAGATACAATTTTTAATTATTTTTTTTTAGAAACCTCTCTCTCTCTCTCTCGAATGAATATTAATTTTACACTTTTTCTGAAGGATTTTCTATAAGGATTAATTACAACGTGTGTTACATGCAATAAACATTTCTGTAGTATTCATATAATTTAATATAATACTCATATTATAGAATTTTTAATATATACCAATTTAAATTATTAGTATAGACAATTAACACATATATCCATACAAATTAATATTTATTCAAACTTTTATATTTGATTGTTCCACAAAATCCCCCAAAAGAAACAAATTCAAAAAGATGCATATTTCAGAGCATAAAATAGCAGCAATGCATTTAAGATAATAGGATGTAAAGAAGAATCCAAAAAAAAGAAAGAAGAATAATCATATTACTGTAGGAAGTTTGAAGGTCAAGTAGGCGTGTATCTGAAGAATGAGTGAGTGAGTGAGTGAGTGAAAGAAAAAGAGAAAAGTGTGTTCCGCGATCTCGCGTATAGCCCGCGGCTTATAACCGTGCCAAGAGAAAGAAAAAGATCCTTTCAGTATCGTCTTGTATATCATCCAGAGTCTGTAAAACAAACATACGGTAATTTGCCGATAATTATTGCTTGGGCACACCCACCCTTCCCTACCCTACCCTCCCCTATCCTTCCCATTCCTTCCCAACCCCCGTTTTCAGCCGTCTCCCAGCTCGCAATTTCTTCTCGTCTACGCAATTTCCTTTTCCCTGAAATAATTGAGGAGGATAGGAGGCCGGTTTTATCGATCGGGTTATTGGTCGAGTTATTGCTTCAAATCGATGGCTATCTTTGAACCGTGCACCACGAGAGAACGTATATCCAATGAACAGCCAAGGGAAAGGCTCAAATAACGATACGCCTACCGACGTGCCCCATGGTATCTTTTCGATCGTGTGTAGGGTAATGATTAATTATATCCTTCATTCTCGATTGATCTCGACGTTCCAATACTTAGAGTTCATTTGGGATCCTTTTTTTTTTCTTTTTTATTAACATTTTCTTCACAATCAAATTCTTTTTATGTATTATATATTTTTAATTTTTATTTTCTTTCGTGTAATTAGTGTAAATGAAATATTTGTATTGCGAACAATTACATTAATTGATACCATTTCAACATTTTTCTAATGTCGATTTTTTTTTTTATTAATCCAAAGGGGTGGTAGCGGGTAGATTCTTTTTTCGCGTCCTTAGCGAAGAAAGAATTTACTTCAGGGATGCGACCCTGCCCACGCGAGCCATGATTTTCTCCTATCTCTAATGATTGAGAGAAATCATGTCCCAACCTATAATCCTATCCACGAACCATTATAATCCCTCTTACATCACCATCACTTCCTATCCAACTCGTCAACGGGTCGTTTTTATATCGAACTTTATCAAATGGAAATTTAAATCTCATTCTAATGTGTTTTATTCTCAATTGTTCGTTGCAGAATTCGATGCAGAAATTGATTAAAATTCTTGTTAGGATTTTTCTGCGACAAAGAATTCTAAAAATTTATCTCAAATCACATTCGTAATTTTATATAGTAAAGATAATAATCAAGATGACGATGATGATGATGATGATGATAGTCAATGAAATTTCTCGTAGTTACATGATAAATGTCTGATATAAAGTTATAAGATATTTTAATTGACTCGTAAAATTGTACGAAACGTTGCAAATGTTTGTTTAAAATCGATATAGCAATAATACTGCAACAACTTTCATAATTTACCATGTACACCATACGCGAACGTCCAACAACCAACCGAGAGTCAACTTTCTGGTCTCTCGAGTGTGTTTGCTCGTCTTTATTTATAGAAACCAAACGAACGGTAGCTACATATGCACACGATGTTTTTTAGAATACTCATTTTACGAGCTGCTACATGATTTTAATTTCTTTTCTTTTTTTGTGTTTTCTGTATAAATTTATTTATTTATTTAAGAAAAAAAAAGACGAAATAAGTAAAAAAATAAATATTATTATTTAAAACATTCACACACAGGAATACGTCATCAGTGATACACACATGATTATAACATTAATAGTACAACATTTTTTGTGTACAATTAATTAAAGTATATAATTAAAATCTGCATCGTCCGATGAATTAAAAAGTGCAGGAATTAGAGTCACCCGAGATACAATGTCATATAATTTTTATTTTATTTATAAATATTATACAAAAAAATCGCGAGAGAGACGGACAGAGAATAAAAAATGTTCGAGTAATTCGATAAATGAAATAAAAAAGAAGCTAATATCTCAGATATTTGTAGCAAAGAAAAAACAAAAGGATTCATTTGATACGCGGTAATATAAAAAAAAAAAAAAAAGAGCGAAAAGTTTTTTCGAATATTTGAAAAGTGGAGCAGGCCGCTTAAGCGCGCGCCAAGCATGCTTAGCGAGTTGCGCATGCGCAATAAAAGAAGAAACGCGTGCGTACCGGGGGCCCACATCCATTCATCAGAGTGAGATTCGTCGAACAAGTTTTTGCTTTTCCAAGCAACAAGAGTACAAGGAAGAAAGGTGGCAAGTGTGGGACACCACGACGACGATGCGACGACGAACACGAGAAAAGTGACTTTTGTCGCGCGACCACGTTCACTTCTTTTTCTTTTTTCTTTTTTTCTTTTTTTGTTCAATCTCTTAGAATCTCACCCTTTCTCTTTTATCTTTTTCAACATTGTACAAGTTAATGGAGTTATAACATAATTCGATCTCGTTAGATCAACTAATCTTTTATTTCTATTACTGTTTTTTAAAACAAAAAAAATATATATATAAAAAGAAACACATATATCATATATACTGAAATGAATACTTTTCTTTCTTTTTGTATATCCAATTTTTTATAGTCGACACGAGTTGATGAAGTTGTAACGTAATTTGATTAGAATCCATGCTCGTTGTATCGTACAAAAAAAAAAGCAACTAAAAGTTAATGTTTCACGCCCAAACAAATTTATGAATGAGAACACGGACAATATTGGTAAGATTTGCAAATTGTATTTCGTATGTATATGTATATATAAAAAACAAAAAACAAAACGAAAAAAAAGAAAGAAAGAAAGGAAGATATGTAATTTGAAAACTGGTCGTGCTTGGGTTAAAATACACGAGGCATGTCTTACGCGTTCGCACGCAAAGAAAATATGCGGTTGCATATGTTAAGATAAGAAATTATACTTCTTTGAGAAGAAGCTGCTTAAGGGGGGC